GGGGGGGGGGCATTATGGCTCCCCCCTCCACGATTTTTCCGATTGCTCGGGAACGCATATGGATGGCGCCCCGCCGCTCGCTGACTTTTTTTTTTAGGTCTTGCGTAACTTTTAAAAGAATTTTTTGAAAATCGGATCTACGGTTACAAGGTCACGTGACCTTTTGTCTTTGCATGTCAGCCCGAAAATCGCTCATTTTCGTTATTTGTGTACCAAACATATAGAAAAGTCATTTTTCCTAAAAACAGATCAAACATGGGTTATTGGGTCTTGTTTAAAGTTTAGGTGGTTGTTTTGGGAGTCAAAATAGTTGAATTGTAGTAAGACATGCAATAAAACAACAAAAACAATGAAATATATAAGTTTAAAAAACAGTGAAATACATAAGAAATTATCAAAACAAGGGATAACATAAGGAATAAGCTTGCTCTTCCAAATTTTTTGTCATATTATTATTCAGAATGGTCTAATGAATATATGTAGTGAAAAAGAATGCTTAAATATGAATAATATATGATTTATGGGTAAAAATGTGATTTTATGACTTTATTTGCATAAATTACCATAAATATGCAAATGAGTGATTTTTTCTAAAAATTAAAAATTATCATATTATTCTATACACTTCACTTGACATGCGTGCAAATTTTCGCGGCGATCGGCCTCTTCGCGGCCGAGATCTTAAGGGGGGCCATAATGCCCCCCCCCCCCCCCTGGCCGTACTAAGACTTCAAATAGCCCGGCCTTTTTAGGGTTAAGTAGAACAAAAACATGCCCTATTATTAGCCTCCCCTCCCACTCCCCCTCGTCAAGTAGGAATTTGTACAACCACAAAGACATCTTGAGAAGTGAAGTATGTGCACCATTTTGCCGAATTCAATAGAGAATTTCTGAATAAAATTGAACATAAACTGATAGCCCCTGCGCGATACTTGTACGCCCCTCCCCCAGCCAGAGGGCCATGGATCTGCCACGTAGCAGTATGTTAGCAGTATGTTAGAGTATGACACATTGATGGCTTGTCAGAGATTCGTTGATAGTTGGTTCAGACTGGTATCTGGTAAGTTCTAAATGAGCTGTAACTATATGTTTCGATCAGGATAGAGATCATTCGTGGTTTTGTTTTTAGTGAGGCCATGAGCTCACACACCTTCCTCGGATTATGAAGGGGAAACTATCACAGCAAAGTAAATTTGACATTTAGGAGAAAGTACTTTTCAGGACGATACAGAAATAAATTATCAAGTCTGTGTTTTCTCTTACATGTTATCACACTATTTGATTTTTCCCATATTGACAACCTTAGCACGTATGCCCTACTTTTGTCTACAGACTATAAATGTCATTTTCATGATGCTACGTCGTGGGTAGTATAGGATTTCCCGGCAAAATTCGCGTGTTTGTCATTCGAATTCATTTACTTTGCATTTAAGTTAGCGCAGATCGGCTTTGCCATGCCAATTATCAGTCAATTTTCCAGTTTTTGTATTTAATTTAGGATTTTGGTCGAAGGGTTTCATATAGATCTGTCATTCAATTTAGAAACTGCTCAACTAGCATTCAAATTAATATTCACTTGTCGAAGCGTAATTTTTATCATTCAAATTAACACCTGTCATTCGTATTCGTAATATTTTTATTCAAGTTAGAAATGTTAGGGGGAAGAATTGCAACAAACTTGTACAGTTTTTAAATAATGCAGTTAAAACGCTTGATTTACCATTGGGGTCTAAGCTGTTATTCCATTTATTTATTTTCACGACAATGCAGATGGGTGTAGTCAGACATAAAGTAAAGAAGGGGCGAAATCAAGGGATATGGCATTTCTGTACGGACATGTTCATATACCCGGGAAAGGTGGGGGTACCCTCAATCGCCCCTTTTTACTACAGACTCGGAATTTTACAAAAGTAATTCACATCGTCTCTTATACCCAGCACAACCCTCAGTTTTCTTAAAGAGTTTCATAGATTACTTGCCCGCCAGCAGATCGAAGGCTAAAGACACGGCTAAATAATGAATCATGTTCAAATTGTTAACTCTAGTCCCTACCCCAGTCACAATATTGTACCCTTCTTCATAATGAAATTATGATGAAATTATGATAAATTTATGATAAAACATAAGACAAACAACTTCCTTACATGAACATTTACAAATATACTGAGACCATCACGTCCGTAGATGCAAGTCGTTTTTTTATTCTTAACAATCAAACTTAAATGCTGATGTATATCAGATAAATAAAGTATAAGTGTATAAATGCAAGAAAATGAAATATGATGAAATTCACATGAAAAAAACAATCTTGAAAGAAAAAGAATGAGCTATAAAAAGTGTGTAATAAACGAGAAATGTCTATTGACCATCAATTTAAGTGCACAAAGTGCTAATTTGAATGCTACAAATGAATTAGAATGCTAAAAGTACATTGTCGCGTTGTCAGAAAATCGTGTTGCGCCAAATCGAATGACCAAATAGCGAAAGAAGCACATTGTTCATTAATTTGAATGAAACATACGTAGATTCTAACAAAAATTCCATAGATTTGAAAACTAGAAAAGGTAATAAAACCCGAGATATACCTGACTGCACTAAAACCGTCGAATTTGAACGCAAGACAAATTAATTTGAATGACAAACTCGCGAATTTGGTCGGGAAATCCTATACTTTACTAAGAACTGTTAAGATATATTTACTCAGAATAAAGTTCGATTTCATGGTTTTATCCATTTTAAATCATCTTAGATTAATCGGCCGATTTTCTAGCACTTATCCGTAAAGATTATTGCATTGTAAATTCCTGTGGGTGTCTTTTTATTTTATTTATATTATTCACATTTTTATACTAAGAACTTTTATAATATGTTTGCTCAGAATAAAGCACGATTTGATGGTATTATCCATTTCAATTCATCGTAGATTGATCGACCAACTTTCTAGCACTTATCCGTAAAGATTATTGCATTGTAAATGTCTGTGGGTGTTTATTTTTGTAATTTATATTAATTACTTTATTATAAAACCGTACCCTCTAGGGAAAAATTAACGAATGTAACTGAGAAAACATTGCAAATCCGGTTGCAAATCCGGTCCTGAAGGCGTTTTCACGAGAAAAAATAAAGAAAGAAAGGAAATGAAAAAGTTGTGAATTCCAACTTCTTCTTTTTTTTCTCTCACTTGAAATAAATGACTAAGTTTGAACAAAATAATGCGCCTGTTGCATGCCACGTATATCATAATTTTATGCTTGCTCTTACCCTGTTTATTAGTCTGTCTGTCTATCTTTCTTCCCTCTCTTGTGCTCTACCCCTCTCCCTTTCTTCTCTTATACAGGAATCTCTTTTTTCATATATTCCATGTATGTACTATCTCTCTTCGAATCTGTCAAACTCATATCTATTATCACTGTCTGTCTCTCTCTCCTTGGATGTGTGTTTCTCTGTCTCTATTCTCTATTTCATCCTCTCTACGTCTCTTTTACTCTCTTTCTCAATCTCTCTACTTCATACGCACTCACACACGCACACACACACACATACTCACCCACCTTCATATACCTTCTATCCCCCCACTCTCTCCTTCTCTCTCTCTCTCTCTCTCTCTCTATCTCTCTCTCTCCCCTCTCTCTGTCTCTCTCTCTCCCCTCTCTCTGTTTCTCTCTAGTTCCCCCTCTCTCCTCTTTCAAAGTCATAACAGTTATCTTATGAGTGTACCACTACACATATTGCGGCTTCTTCTTGGTATATTCAGCGAATGTTATTCATTATAGACCTTGGAATCAATGATCACGGCTTAGGAAAAACTTTGAATAATTAAAACCCCCATTTAAACCGACACCAAACCGCCAACTACACCGAATCCGTCGGTTAACTTCCGGTTTGGATTCGGTCTTGCGGCATTACTGGAGAAGAAAACAACCCCTTCCATCTTAAGTGATTGATTTTTTTTTGTATGTTAAACGCATGAACATGTTACATGTACATCCTAATTTTCAATCTTTCATAGACATATTATATGGGCCGCGACGCGACAAAAGGGCCCTTAGCGCTGCAAAGCACTGACGCAGTAGACCCGCGCGAAAGTCGAGTGAAACAAAACTCAGTTCAAATATTATATCATATTGTCCTACAAAGGGGTCGTAAAAACCTGCCAGCGCAAGAACCCATGACCCTCATTATTCTTGGCGTGCGGACTTCAAGCCACTCAACTACACAGTTTTCTTTGAAAGAAGTCGTTACAATTATATATTGATTTTAATATCCTGATCTATATACTGACCGAGATGAAATATGAGCAAGTGAAGGGTTAGCCTAAGGGAGGATTGTGAACATGCAGGTGAATACAAAATATATTCCTTTCCTCGTAACCAATAACAATTTTCCTATATTAAATCTATGATAAAGGGATGATACAGTATTCAACAGGCTAAATTATCTGAGTCTCTCGTAACATTTAACACATCTTAATAACTATTTAACCAAAAACATTTTGTTGTAAGATATTGAGAACACGAAACTTATGTCAGATTCAGTATTATTTTGTTGTTAATATTAAAGCACATAAATCTTATCTAGATGGGCATGACGTCAATTGTCCCATGCTCTTCATGGTTTATTCAGCTACAATAACCAAGGGATTGGTATTAAGCCCACAAAAACATTGTGATTATGTAAATACACATCTTCTATCACAATATGTTGCATGTAGAGCTTTAAATCATGGGTGACATGATTGACATTACAATTCTAGTCTGAAATTGTTTGATTATTTCCAAGCATATTTGAGTTCAGTGAACACATTCCTTCAGCCGTGGCATTTTCCAGCAGTCACACAACGTTCTCAATGCAATTGCAAAACGTCTTTAGAACTTTGATTGTTTAGAGTATGTTTAGTTACGTCCCAACAACGTTTCGCGTTTTTGTATGGTTACAATTAGCGACGTCTGATATTAACAACCAAGGTGTACTTCAAATAGCTTGTTATCTATACGTGTAAGATGACAAGCCGTAGGTAAGTGGGTCTCTTTGGTTACAAATTTCTTCTCCATTCTTTGAATTGTTGAGAGGCAGCTAGTTGTGTATTATGATCAGGTATGACCGAATACTAGAAAATCGGTGGGTTCAGCTGACATAATTATGCCACGCAAGGCAGCTTAGCCCACCAATTTTTCCTGTGCAGTTCTGTAATCGAAGAATTGTTTGTAGGCAGGGGCGGATCCAGCCGGCGACAAGGGGGGGGGGGGGGGCGGGGCCCAAATCTTGAGAAAAAAATTTAGCGCCGAATCAGCCGGCCATTGAAAGGAGAACCACTTTTTTTCTTTTTCTTTTTTCTTTTTTTTTTTTTTTTTTTTTTGGGGGGGGGGGGGGCCTGCTTTTGTTTCTTTTGTAAAAAAAGGTTAAATTTACGTTATTATCGTATTTTATTAACAGTTTAAGGGGGCTAGGGGGGGGGGGGGCAGGCCGGAAAATCGCCACGTGGATCCGCGCCTGTTTGTATGAACCAAAATCATGAAAACGGGCCACATTAAAGATACTATGCCCCTTTTGCAGCCAACATCAAAATCTGTAGAACTTTGCAGAAATTATGAATATGTCATGTATGTCCTATCTGTGAAATGTAAACGTTAGCAGTGTCCTAATATTCAAATGATGCAAAGAAACCCGTTTACTTGCTAGACTTCACTGTCAGACACTATTGGGTGACTGACTGGCTTTTTATTCTTCTTTGGTAATAACATACATAAAATGAGCTGTAAAGGGAACATGAGCATTTGTCTACATCAATAACCCACTTCTTGTAATGGCCAAAATTAAACTGGTTGAATCTTTGCGCAGTATTAAACGTATGACCATTCGGTACAATGGTCTGGAAATCAGACTATTACTTACTGCAAATAGGACATAGTACCTTTTAGCTATCAGTGATACATACTGACAAATATAATGAAAATGAAGGAGAATGGTCGCGAGTTTGTCATGAGTTTGACATTGTTTTTCAGTAACAGAGAACAAGACATTGCAGAATATTAATATAAGTTTCACATGCTATAAGACGGTCGGGATGGAAAAGCTTTAGTGAATCAGACAGCTTGTAATTTGAGAGATTTATGCCGGGTAATGTCTTAGATGAGAGATCTGTGTAAGTTCACATTACAAATCCACTCGAACTTAAACATGGTGAAATGAGGTATTTGACCAAGAAGCATCGATTGACTTACGTCAGAATTTCAATTTTATTTAAGTGAATTGAATTTAAAGCTAAGCAACTATTCAAATAAAACATCAACAACTAAAAATCAAAGTAAAAGGGCCTAGTCATCCAATGATTGATTGATTGATTGATTGACTGATTGTTTGTTTGATTTGTTTATTTATTGATTGAATTATTGATTGATTGATTGATTTACTAATTGATTGGTGGGTTAGTTGATTGATTGATTGATTGATTTGTTGGTTGGTTGGTTGGTTGATTTGTTTATTTATTGATTGAATTATTGATTGATTGATTGATTTACTAATTGATTGGTGGGTTAGTTGATTGATTGATTGATTGTTTGTTTGATTCATTTATTTATTGATTGAATTATTGATTGATTGATTTACTAATTGGTTGGTTGGTTAGTTAATTGATTGGTTGGTTGATTGATTGATTGATTGATTGGTTGGTTGATTGTTTGTTTGATTGATTGATTTGTTGGTTGGTTGGTTGGTTGATTTGTTTATTTATTGATTGAATTATTGACTGATTGATTGATTGATTTACTAATTGATTGGTTGGTTAGTTGATTGATTGATTGATTGATTGGTTGATTGGTTGGTTGATTAATTTTTTGATTGACTGGATGATTGTTTGATTGAATGGTAGATTGACTGATTGTTTAATTAATTGATTGATTGTTTGATCTGTTAATTCATTTATTTATTTGATATATAAGTAGCTTTACTTAATTGCTTAACATTTATTTATTTATTCGTTTGTTTGTACATTCTATTATTTATTTCTTTACTAACTTGTTTATTTGGTTATCTATTTGTTTACTTACTTGTTTATTTACTGATTAATGTGTGTGTTTCGATCGATCAATTATTAATCAATTAATTAATTCATTCATTCATTTTTCTATTATAATATATTTATCTACTTGTTTGTATCTTGATTTGTTTAATGAATTGATTATTTATCAATTTATTGATTTATTGATGTTCGTTTATTTTCCATATGATCACAAATATATGAATTATTTAAAATGGTCACATAAAATCATACAAAGAAAAAAGATTCGTCATAACCAAAGCTAAAAGTACTATATGTTCACACAATATATGTACATAACATGTGAACAATACATAATGGAACAGCGTTTGGCCAACAAAAAAAAAACAAATAAGAAAAAGAGAAAGAGGAAAAGTAAGAAAGGGAAAAAAAAAAAAAAAAGGACATACCAATATTTGTGGAGATTCGTGGAATCATAACTGCAGTCATCATATAAGGTGGTGGTAAAGCGCATTCACGCGTCGAGGTTTTATATATATATATATATATATATATATATATATATATATATATATATATATATACAAGAAACCATAAAAGTACACGAAAGAAAAGAAAGGGATAAGTTCGAATCAGAAAGTCCACTTCTAACTGTCGAATTGTAAAATAACTGTGGCAGCTCTCGGGATTCATTTGAGAAATAAGTTGTGATTTCTAATCAGTATACACTTGATGGAATAAATTGAAATAAAATCCGACATCCTAACATACCAAGTAGAACTGTCGTCTCATTCTTTCTATCCTTTATAAGCTTTGCGTTTTGCTGTACAGAAAATTCTAGTGACCTTGCTTGGTATACTATTTTACTATGCCGATCAGGACGGAATTGCACAATGTATTTCGAACTATGGTTCCTTTGCATTGTGTTGTACGGAAACACATTTTCATTTGTGTTTTCACTGATTAATTTGTTAATTGCTTTCTGAGCACCTGGGAAAACTTCAACCCGCATCGAATCATCCTGAACCATGCATGTCCTGGTAATTGATATCCACAGAGAACTCTTTAGAATGGAGGACACGGTCTCTCGCCAAACGAGAAGTGTTGAAAAGGGTATTTTACGGAAACCATTAATGATCGCAACACAACATACCGATCATAACATTGTCTCATGAACGTGTCTATGCTACCAAGTGTAAAGCTGAGTCAACAGAAGGGTACATTTTATGATAGTCATGTAGTTAGGGAGAAAACATGTCCTCAAATTTTTAGACTTCTCGGTGGATATTATTTATCGGGATATGGTACCACTTAATGGACCAGTTGATAGGGCAAGGACAAAAGGGAAACGAAAAGGGGGAAAAAGAAGTATTCATCATTATCAGTTCAATATAATTAACAACCAACCATTTCAAGAGAAGATCATAGCATTGGGATTTATCATCAAACATGATTTAGATACACTTTATTTCACATCGATTATACGTATAACATTTTAGCTGAGGTTTACCTCTGTAAATGTTTATCTGGGCAGGTACAACTACTCTATTGTCTGACATTGCAAACCCATTCCCCCCCCCCCCAGTATGTCATATCTTTATTTGATTCAATGGGTACCTGGCATTGCTTGGGTTAATGGTAATTGAGACGCCATTAGGTAGAACTCTATTACTAATGCTGAGGCTAATCTAGGTAAATGAGACCATATCATTATCATTTACTCGATTGATTTTTTTTAAAATGCCCCTGCCCCTGCCCTCTATATCAGGCTCCATATTTCCCACTCGATCAATGTCTTGCTCTCTCTCTCTCTCCCTCTCTCCCTCATCTCAAACTCGTATAGTCCCACACACGTTACTTTCCCCAACCTCCCCAAAAGCACACACACTCCCTCCCACACCCACACTTCACCCAGATGCTATTCATGCGATTGCCTTCTCATAAATGTTATTGCAGCGATCATATTTACAATCGACACAAATCATAATTGACAAATACTTTAACGTTTTATATACTTCATCCTAAATAATGAGCCATTCGTTTCAGAAGAGGTATGATCTCATTTTGATTTCAGAAGTAAACGAACGATACTTCAGGGAATTATTTGGGCTATGTTCTTTTAATAGAGAATTACTTTTAAAATCTCGTTATTCCACGAACTATGACAACCATAGTTTACTTTCCTGATTTTGTGATCAATATTTGACCAATCTACATGTAACTCATCGAGCATGTCGAGTAATAAAAGATGAAGATCCAATGCGTTACGAAAATATAAATGACAAGAGTTCCTATTTCTGGCTGTTCATTTTCACTATTATATCTTATTACATACATTCCCTGGTCTTTCTTCAGAAGATGGAATCTGTACAGAGCGGAAATTGTCTGACAAATTACTCTTTGCTAGAGTCAATCATTAAAGAGCAGTGAAAGACTCAATCACGATGACCTGTTGGTCACCCCTTTACTCACTTCAGATTCACACAATCAATTACCAAGACCACTCCTTACCCAGGCATCTTAATTAATAACATAGAACAACATGCAAGGATGTTAAAACATCTCAATATACAACTTAATTTGTTTTTCTTCATCAACGCCTAACCTATTTTCGAGTTTCCTGAATAGGGATGTTCGTAAGTTTACCTCGCCTTAGACAACCCTCACAACACCTCACATGTAATTTGTTATTCAAGCTTTCTCCTGCACACGATGGCATCGGTAATTGATGGCACTTTCTCCTGGAGGGGGAATGCACTAATGCATTGGTGAAAATGAGGATCAAGAGTCTATGAATTTCAATGAAGAGCGGACCTATCGAGGAGAAAGAAGAAGAAGAAGAAGAAGAAGAAGAAGAAGAAGAAGACGAAGAAGAGGAAGAAGAAGAAGAAGAAGAGGAGGAAGAAGAAGTGGAATAAAATGAAGAAGAAGAAGGAGAAGGGTAGTAATAATAATAAAAGAAGAAGATATGGAGATGAAGAAGAAGACGAAACGAAGAAGGAGCAAAAGAACAAGATGATGGAGAAGAGAAGATGATGAAAAAAAGGAAGAGAAGGAACGAGAAAGAGAAACAAAAACAAGAAGAATAAGAAATGAAGATAAAGAAGAAGAAATGATGATGAAACAGAGAAGGAGGAAGAAGACGAAGAAGAACAAAGGAACCACAATGATAAGAAGAAATTGATAGTTTTAGGACAGTCGATGATTTTGAATCTATCATTTATCTATCTATCTATCTTTCTATCTACATAAGTTAGTTGACCCCCAAATGGAATTTATGCGCTTGTTATACCAATGCCATTTGTTTCCACCACTGTACGAATCTGTGTCAAATATGTATATATACGAAGTCGATTATTGAAGTAGACTCCTTGAAGGTTCTTTAAAAGTGATAATCATGCAACATCTTGGCGATGTGTAGTGAAGAGCTCTTAAATACCTTCGCCACATGCAACAACAAACACACACTAAACACAAAGGTAATTATTAAGTGCTTTAATCATCATGACCGGGGTAATAATATGTTCCTCGCCTAAAAACAAAGTATTAGGCGCATTATAAATGTGAGCTATTATTATTATTATTATTATTATTATCAAACATTTATTAAAATCATACCGTTTGAATATATTTGAGGGAAATCTTGGGAATTTCATGATAACCCATGTTTTTTTCTGAGAATTAGAGATGCGAAACGATAATAATCTTTTACATTCGAGCTCTATATATGTCATAAACTGGGAACTAGACAAATATAAGAACCATAATTCTTTGATCTTATACGAACATATTAAAAAAAATAGATGTTAGACAAACCCTTCTCATTTTAGATAAATACAGAAGTTACAAAGGGCACCCGTTCATTGTTTGTTCTGGTGTTAACCCTAAGTAATACCCCATCTTCTCCAAGGAGACCGACCTCGGTGGGTTTGGAGTCGGTATGGAGTCGGTTTGGCGGTGTAAATAAGTAGCACTAAACGATGTATCTAGGTCGCCTTGAATTAGATTAGTTAGGGATAATTGATAACTTAAGTTGTTGGAATGCTCTTAAGCAAAGATGGAATATTGCCGCAGCATGTGTGCATTGTCGGTACATTACATTCGCTACTGACTCAATATTACATTGGGGCTAAGTAATAAGCGGCACGTGTGAGCTCCAGGTAGACCAGGCCACATTAAGAGATCATGTTTGCTACCTAGTTCGCTCTAATCTAATTGACACCTCCCTAATGATCGGTTGAACTGACCGGTTTTTGATCTCGAGCAGGTGATGCATGACTCCCAGGGAGGCGCAGCAGTCCTCTCCCGCTCGTTAGATGCTCAACAAGGGTATGAGGTGAATCTTTATCCTGCATCAAAGGCCCGAAGACAATGGCTATAACGGCACTAACGGGAGTTGACAGCGCCTAACAACTTCATTTGCGACATATCATTTTTCATAAATCCTTGCTATATCAAACATAGAAATCCTAACGACATTGCACGAGGTCCCTACACGTGCTCCAGTGCCAATGATGAAAGTCAGGTGCTTGAAATAGAATCCTGTCTACTCTCCACGTTGTTATCCTCTACAAAAAGCGGTCTTTTAAAAGATGTATTATTCAAAGATAAACACTCGATTATGCCCATCTCCCCGAACTTTCCTAGATAAAAGAATTATTCTCACTCCTTCTCTTTCCTTGTCCTCTCTCTCTCTCTAGATATATATATATTTTCCCTCTTACATTTTCTCCTTTTCTCAGTTTCTATCATTGTCTTCCCCTCTCCCTCCCTCTTATTTATATTTTCCCTTCTCGCTAATCAGGCGACGTGCCATACAGCAGGTGCCACATGGCGGTGTCCTTTTATTTTTTCCCGGGTGCTGTTGGCCACATTAAATGCCTATTTTAAGCTGATTTGCCACCAATAAAACGTCAGACGTAGTTAGATAGCATCAAGTAACTCGTCCATTAATAATTTATGAGAACTAGATGGCATTATAGGCCTATCTTGACTATGCAGAAAGAATCAGGGCAGATAAAAAAAAATCTAGATCGGTTTAAGAAACTCCTTTCCATCATCCAAATGTGTGTTTCCTTCGCCTTGTTGTGCTATCACTGCCTCTGTCCTCGATGTCCAATGTTTTGAACTTCTAGCGTAAAGATCTCATTTGAGTAAGGGCCTATTTTTTTCTCCTACGGGCTAAAAACATCTCTTGCTCCATTATGACCTTTCCTGTTTTGAAATTTTGCTAGAGAAGCGAGGCAGCCGACCAGAATTATTGCTTTTTAGTGGACCCCTCTGTTTCCAATATGTATTTCTACATTGTTGTAAATATTTATAATTGATTTGTAATGTTTTGTGGAAACATTAATAAATTGAATTGAATTGAATTGAATTATTGTACTGTAACAATTTATAACATTTCATCAAAATGGACGAAAGAAGATATTATAATTTTTAAAAAAAGGGGAAAGCCCGAATTTTAATGGGTGATTTCAAAATTCTTAGGAGCTGCAGCCCACTTGCCCCACTCCCTCCTACGTTACGTCAACGCATGACAACCTTTCGAACGCAACTAAAATTGGGTATATCCTATATGATCATTTCCCATATGACTTGAGCGCAGAATAATACTTATGATATTGATATCATGTTTATCGCAATAATGCCCCTTTTGCAGTGGCTGAGATTACAATTCGTTCCATTTCTCTTTCCTCGTTTGTACAGTATCCTAACTGAGGGGGAGTAATAGGGAAAGGTGTGCGCAGGTACCACTTATATCGATTGTAGTATTGAAACATAATGTGGTCCTGAAAATGGTTAAATCTTGAGGCGTGTACGAAATAGAGTCGACGAAGAAACTCTCATGGAAATCAAAACATTATCAGATTCACCCAAACCTATTTCCATCCATCAACAAAAAATGTAAGTAAATGAGATAGAGATAGCGGTCATCGTGTACTGTTGATCGTAGGCCTTTGCAAGTACTGTAAAATGGTAATAATTAGCATAAATTTCATATCACAACTATGCTTTTTGAGTAGTACTTGAAATAATCAATAATGTCGGAAAGGAAAGTGTTAACAACAACATGACCGCGAGGTAAATAGGTAAAATATCAAAGAGTTGAAAATACAAAAACAAAGTGACAGTGTACACGGTAGAAAATTGTATTGTTTACTCATCACATAACAGAGAGAGAGGGAGAGAGAGGGAGAGAGAGGTTGTGTGTGAGAGAGAGATGTAGAGAGATAGAGGGGGAGAGAGAGAGAGAGAGAGAGAAAGAAAGAAAAAAAAAGGGATAGAAAAAATGAAATACTCCCATAGTGTTGGTACTTTAAACACACTGTATTCATATTGTGGCGACAAACTTTAAACATCATTAGAACCCATAGATAATCAGATGGGCTACGTAATACAGCTTGTCCAACATATTGAATTTATTAATTTATTTGTATTTCGCCAGAGTAGCCCATTCAACAAAAGTTGGTCTTGAATGGGTGATGAACATGCAAATAGTCTGTCAGAATATTTCAACACTGTTTCACACTGTTTAACCATACGTCATTTTCGATAGCGCATTCTAACTGCGGTAAATTAATGATATCAAAGTTATAATTTGGATGTTAAATATTGGATATCATGAAATCTCTAGTAGCCACTAGTTTAGATGCGTCTGTTGTGTAATACTCTTCAATACATTATACAATTCCCAGGGAAATTGTACACTCATTAATAATGGAAATTACAAAAATGAGAATAATAACAAAAACACATCGAAAATCGATTAACTGTAAGTATGTTAAGCGTGGGTGATAAGAGCTACGATTCGTATCAATGGCTTTGGCTTGTCACCAAATCTTACTTTATATCTCGACCATAATCGTGAATATTTGGTGATGAATATCTTAAAGAGTGCTTCATAGCCGCCGTGTAGGTGTCAATTGGGATATGGGGACCAATCAAATGAATAATTAAAAAGTTTTCCATTTTCAATATTCATCAATCAATGTTACATTCGTGTAAAGAGATAAAGTCTCGATAGGGTACTATCAAGATAGTCTGTCAAATATTAATTGCTAATGACTTTTTGTAATGTTAAGAGCGCGACGAATTTCTGTGAACGATTCTTCACATTTCGACATTATTCTTCCTATGAGATGGCGTCGAATATTAGTCACAAGGGAATAATTAGCCGATATCTTCAGTCATATGTGATATTGCCTAACTTCACCTTCGCATGGGTTTTAAGTTGCACAGTAGTAGCTATTTTTGTTTGCACATTTTGCACTTCAATATTTTTTTGGGAAAACACCAAGACTTCAATTTACAGCGTTCCACTTCAATAGCCAATTTAATTAACGTAACCTGATATATGGGTCAGTGTAACGGTTTACAAAACCTCTAGCGAACACTGTGTTGATTATCACAAAGGGGGAAAAAAAACTGGCAGACAGCCAATTTACTTGAATATATAACTCGAAACATTTTGGAAAAGAAATGCAAACATATGGTGGCCCTGAAGGGACATCGCGAATAGACTAAATCGTGAAAAATATGCGATAAAATTCACGATATCGTCAATTTTATCGCATATTTTTCACGAAGAAATTCACGAAATTGACGATATCGTGAACTTTATCGTGAACTTTTCACGATGAAATTGACGATATCGTGAATTTTATCGTGAAAAGTTCACGATATAAAGTTCACGATATCGTCAATTTTATCGTGTACTCTATCGTGTACTCTATCGTGTACTCTATCGTGTACTCTTCTGACGGGCGCTTCGTAAACAAAACCAGCCCTAGCTGGGGGAGACAGAGAGAAGGAAAAAAGGGAAAGGGAAAGAGAAGATAAAAGGAAAGAAAGAATAATAAGAAGAAAAGAGGGAAACGGGGGGGGGGGGCGAAGGGCTCTTGCCTCCTCCTCCAGGCTCCCCCCCCTCCCCGCCAAAAATTAAATCAGAGAGAGAGAGAGAAGGGTAAGGGAAAGGGAAAGAGAAGATAAAAGGAAAGAAAGAAGAGGAAGAAGAAGAAAAGAGGAAAACGGGGGAAGGGCGAAGGATTCTTGCCCCCCTCCCCCCCCGCCAAAAAATAAATCAGAGAGAGAGAGAGAAGGGAAAGGGAAAGGGAAAGAGAAGATAAAAGGAAAGAAAGAAGAGGAAGAAGAAGAAGAAAAGAGGGAAACGGGGGCGAAGGGCTCTTGCATCCCCCCGCCAAAAAATAAATAAGAGAGAGAGAGAGAAGGAAAGGGAAAGAGAAGAAAGAAAGAGAAAAACGAAAAAGAGGGAGAATAGGAAAGAAAGGAAAAGAAAGAAAAGAAAGGAGGCAAGAGCCCTTCGCCCCTGTTTCCCTCTTTTCTTATTCTTTTTCCTCTTCTTTCTTTCCTTTTATATTTTCTTTCCCTCTCCCTTCTCTTTACCTTTATGGCGGGAGGGGGGAGGGGGAGGTAAGAGCCTTTCGCCCTTCCCCCGTTTCCCTCTTTCCGTCTTCTTCTTCTTTCTTTCCTTTTATATTTCCTTTCCCTTTCCCTTTCCCTTCTCTCTATCTCTCTCTCTCTCTCCTATTTATTTGTTGGCGCGGGAGGGGGGGAGGAGGCAAGAGCCCCTCTTTTCTTCTTATTCTTCTTCCTTTCCTTTTTTATTCCCTTTCCCTTTCCCTTCTCTCTCTCCTTATTTATTTTTTGGCGGGGGGGGGGGGGAGTGAGGAGGAGGCAAGAGCCCTTCGCCCCCCCCCCCCGTTTCCCTCTTTTCTTCTTATTATTCTTTCTTTCCTTTTATCTTCTCTTTCCCTTTCCATTTTTTCCTTCTCTCTGTCTCCCCAGCTAGGGCTGGTTTTGTTTACGAAGCGCCCGTCAGGAGAGTACACGATAGAGTACACGATAGAGTACACGATAAAATTGACGATATCGTGAACTTTATATCGTGAACTTTTCACGATAAAATTCACGATATCGTCAATTTCATCGTGAAAAGTTCACGATAAAGTTCACGATATCGTCAATTTCGTGAATTTCTTCGTGAAAAATATGCGATAAAATTGACGATATCGTGAATTTTATCGCATATTTTTCACGATTTAGTCTATTCGCGATGTCCCTTCAGGGCCACCATACAAACAAGAGGATAGTACATCAAACCAATGAGCTTAGGCATACAAAAATCCTACATCATTGATTAAACACAGGAAAAAAAAAATCTTGGCCTCAAGGCCTCGAGGGGGGGGGGGGGGGGGGGGGGGGGGGGGTGGCGTTGCTTATTAAATTATCAATTTAGTCTTAAAATACAAAATAAGATTTATAGAAAAATTACTGAGAAATCGCCCAATTTTTATGCCTCCGTTACGAAGTAGCCGGAGGCATTATGTTTTCGGGTTGTCCGTCCGTACGTCCCGTTCTGTGATCGCGTTATCTGAAGAACCGATGGATGGATTCCTGCCAAACTTTGGTCATGTATGTATCTTGCAGAGCCGATGAACTGATTAGATTTTGGGGTCACGAGGTCAAAGGTCAAAGGTCACAGGGCTCATTATGTATGCTGAAACAGCTCGTGATCGCGTTATCTCAAGAACCGATTGATGGATTCCTGCCAAACTTAGGTCATGTATGTATCTTGCAGAGACGATGAACTAATTAGATTTTGGGGTCACGAGGTCAAAGGTCAAAGGTCAAAGGTCACAGGGCTCATTATGTATGCTGAAACAGCTCGTGATCGCGTTATCTCAAGAACCGATTGATGGATTCCTGCCAAACTTAGGTCATGTATGTTACTTGCAGAGCCGATGAACTGATTAAATTTTGGGGTCATGAGGTCAAGGTCAAAGGTCATGCGGCTCATTATGTATGCAAAAATAGCTTGTGAACGCTTTCTCAGAACTGACAGATGGATTACTATTTAACTCGGGACATCTTGCAGAGCCAATGAACTGAGTAGATGTTAGGGTCATGTGGTCAAAGATCAAAGGGTCATATATGTATTTGAGAAATTGCTTGTAATCACGATATTCTGAGAACCTGTTAATGGATTACAATTGAACTTGAATTTGAACAATTTCTTCTGTTTTGGTTTGTAAAATTGCTTTATGACGGAGGCATCATTTCGACTGCGCGCAGTCGAAGTCCCATCTAGTTAAAATATGAGGTGGGCGTCGGCTGAATAGTCTTTATTTAATCATTATTAGTGCCGCAACTCCTCATCCTGCCTATATAAATCTATGCCTATGCTTAGGAAGGTGAAGGTCGTAGCTGTCTTCGTATTTGCAGACCTTTTGCAGAATTTTTCTGAAATGAAATCATGAATCACGAGATGAATGTGTTTTTTTGTAGCCAATCAATGCATGATCTACTTCACATAAACGAAAGGGGAACAAAATGCAACGTTTAAAACCTGCTTGGTGTACCCCCCCCCCACCCACAAATCAAATCTACTATGATTCTATGTTTATTGATAGGGCAAAAAGTATTGAAATAGACTCAAATAGTCGGGAAATATTTTATTTTCTCTCTCCCATATAACCGTTCCTAGATTAAACGACCTCCCTTGACCCATCCCCACCTTTTCATTATATCATCTTCATAGTAACCCTGCAGGAATGTTTCCTATCACTGCACATGAAGCAAGAAGTGTTTACTGGAACCAGGACATCGATATCTCTAAAACATGGAACCTGGAGCTTCGTTCATCGATCATAGGCAAATAAAAAAAAGTAGAGCAGATATTTTTTTTGAGGTTGGGGGGGGGGGGGGGGGGGGGTGTTGAATGAGGTGATATCTCCGAGGAGTCTGTCCTAGTTAACAGCGGAGGAGGCTTACCCGGAAAGCCATGGTCCTGGTTTTGCCGCTAGAGGGCCCACACACTCGTCAAACTTGAACAAACTTCAATGTTCATTGGCGACAAAGAATTAATTTATGTTCATCAAGCCAAAGTCCTCGGAATTATTTTACAATCAAACCTAAAGTGGGATAGTCATGTATCCGATCTCACAAAAAGGTGTAATAGGAAGTTATTTATGTTTCGTTGCCTTAAGAAGTATGGATTGCCTGTAGATGACCTTTTACTAATATATAAAGGATACATTCGTTCGATTTTAGATTATGGGGTACCGGTTTTTAATGGTAATTTAACAAAAACTCATGTATATATTTTAGAACGTATTCAGAAAAGAGCTTGCAAAATCATTTTAGGACGTCAGTAGGAAAATTATGAAGCAGCATTGGAAACGTGCAATCTATGTTCATTAGAAGCAAGACGTAAGCAGTTATGTATAGACTTTGCAAATGCACTTGTCAAACACCCACAATTTAAAGAATGTTTACCTCTTAGACAACAAAGCACTTATTCTCTAAGATCTCAATCAAAGTTTAAACAATACCAATGTAAAACAAAACGCTTCCAGTGTAGCTCTCTTCCTTACTTTATAAATCTTTTGAATAAAATGTAATATCAATATTTTTAGAATTTCACAGTCCATGATTGAAATATGTGAATGAATTTTGATAGTTTTTATCTTAATTTTCTGCAATACTGAATATTTCTTGCCATCTCCCCTCATCTGTAATGATAAGGTACCCTTTGTCTGTCTCTTCCTCTCTTCAACCCTCTCTCTCTTTCCGTCTTTCTCTCCCGTCCCCTTTCTCTTTCTTTCTCTCCTTCTCTCTCTTTGTCATCACTCCAACTCTCCCTCTCCTACACCTCTCCCTATCTCTTTCTTTTTTTAACAAAAATTTGAATCTGATCAATGAATGTTTATGAAATGTCTATATGTTTGATTATTGATTTATGTCATATGTTGTGTTATTTCAATTTGAATTGCAATTGTATTGTATATAACCTTGTGAAATGGATCGCAATTCAGCCATTGGCTGCGATGATCTTTTTAATAAAAACCATTTCTATTTCTTGTCATTCAAGCTCCTCAGAATCGCCTCCAGAATTGGCACCCTTTCAGAAAACTTGTTAAATCATATGTGTACCTATGACTCACAAATTCCAAGGGATGTTGTTTATTCTTTTTCAGCAAAAAGCATTATATTTTGTGGCAAATGCTTGAAACAGGAAGTGGATCTTCGCTATAAGAATGAATAAAATATGTGGCAACTATTGAATCCACAGTAGAAAATAGGTTTGAGGAAAGCACTTACTATTTATATCCACTGCGTAACATTTCTCCAGGGCTATACATACACTGTATTGCCATTTTCCACATGCATTCTTGAGTCTAGTTCTTGATATCAATTACAGTGGCTGTATCTTTACTTCTCTTCCTCGAGATTCAATACATAGAGGGAAGGTTTACCTTGATAACAGGCCACTCTTGCCATGTAAAAGCGGTAGAAAACAGGTACATGAATCTGATTTCGTGTGAATAGGAATTGAGAGAGATGTGAGGGTAACATGTCTAAAATTAGTATACTTTCAAACCAAAATGTAAGTGGCTAGATATTGTTCTGTGTTAATCTAGTTCTGTGCTACTCTTTGTTAATTAATTTTTCTTTCTTCTGTTTGTTATCCTGACATCTACAATACTACATGAAATGGATATGACGAATTGCTTTAGTAATCAGTATAAAAGAAAATCAAAGTATAGCATAATTTTGCAAGTAGGCCTAATAATGGACTCGAGGAAGAACAAGTGATTGAAAAGGAATGTATATGCATCTATTCTCAGCCATATTATATGGGACTTTCCCGGACGTAGGCAAACTTTATTTTTCTTCAATGCAATAAAAGGGAATCAAATAACCGGATGGCTTCTCAGCTAATTTGAAAAAGAAACCGGTAAGTTAGATCCCCAATGAGGGCAAAGCGTGAATGCCTATTCAGCCAATTTAATTTAAAAGGAATATTGAATTTCACGGAAAGATCGACGCCGGATTCTTGACCATTCTTGTGTGTTTGAGTGTTAAGACTTCAACTGGCGTCTACAAAGTTGGCGTGGAGAGCTCTTTCTCTAACCCTTTATTTATCAAATCAATGAGTATTAACAACTTCAATAAAAGCACAATAACAAACTCCAATCTTGTACTCGAACGTAAGTTTTAATAACTTTAATACATTTTAATTTATTTAATTATAAAGGTTATGTGAGATCTGTGAAAACTTTATTTTCATACAACCAGCATTCAAGCATTGTATTAAAGAAAAAGAGCGGAAATATTAATATCATTTTGCTGTCTTTATGTGGAGTAATACGCAAACGCACCCACACACACGCACCAACACACACACACACACAGACACACAGACATGCACAAAAGAAACCCACATCTTTATGGAAACAGTGAAACTAAGAATAATTTACGTGTAGCTCTATCAAGAAGCTTTTGCTTTGTTTCCTTTAAATAACTTGAAAAATGTGAAAGACAAGGATTTCGACACCAGATGCTTTAAAAAGTGAAGCAAAGTCAACAAAATAGAATAGTAGTTGAAAATCTCCCTTCTAAATGAGAATTAATTTAAAAACATAACTGCTTGATACTAAAAACATGCATCTATCACTTCACAAGAGCAATATAATTATGAGCAATATAAGCATCTTTTTTCTTTTGGATAAGTGCCCCCTCTTCCTTTCACCATAAATTGTGTTCCTAATATAAAGCGACTAGGAGCAACTTTTTCTTTAATTTAACCCAAATCTCGCTCGCTAGGCTCTCTCGCATTTTATGTTGATATATCATTTTGTTTCTGACTAAAGATCTTTTCAGTCTTTCATGATTAGATTGTGCTTAAAATCCCCATTAGGACTGGGTTTTTTTCTTTAAAATAATATGTCGAATATGTAATCTTCAAATTTCTGTTCGCTTTCTTCGCTCGCTCGCAAATAAATGTTTTGACCATCACACCCAACTGCAAAGTATAATGCTTAATTAGTATCTTGGACCATGTAAAGAGAGAAACAAACTTTAAATCATCCCTAATAATCACAATGTAGGGTTATATACCAATGTCTAAAATATCGCATATTTTCGCTTTGAGGTTTCCCTTTGTAAGCCCCTTTTCCCCAGAAGGTGCACTTTTTTGTTGGCGCCCCCCCCCCCCCCTCACTTGTAAAGACGCTCCTTCGCCCCTGGCTCGCAGTTTAGCTCAAGCTATACAAAATAATATCATACTGATAGCTAAACTTGAGTCTCATTTATTTTCTAAATAAAATACATACTTTTCATGACCGGTAATTTCTTGAACGACGTTTAGAAAAACATCAAAAGACAGCCAAAACGATTTGAACGCACGGCTTTTTCTCTGCTCTTCGGAATAAGAAGGGCTACAAATCTAAAGCGAACGTGACTATTCTATCATTACGTCGCGTCAGCAAACATACGACACGTTCAACACATGAGCGAGTCTAAGCGACCATGATCGATCCCCTATACAGATGCGTTCTTAAACTGTTATCGTCGTCTGCTTTTTAAATAGATTCAATTTCCTTTTTGTCTCAAGTTCCCGCCAAAATATGACCTGACGCGATGAAAGGGAACAAAGTGCAATTGCCCGATGACAATGCTCTATACAACATAACATGACGAACTGGTTTTTCAAATGGAAGAAACAGTTCTATTCATGGGAACTGGTAATCTCGCACAACACTGACACTAACTCACAAAGACCCCCTCCTCCCCTCAAAAGAAAGAATAAATCGCTTGGGACACATATCAATCTGAATAGCTTCACGCTTTTGTCCATGATTGATGTTTTCTATCACATTTTTTTTTATAAAGAGCAATAAACGATCTACATTTGCGCAGTGAGCGTCTAACTGGCGGAGAGAATACATTGTTATTATTATGTACTTGATCAATCTTTACCACCTTGAATCTTAAATATCAATTGTTTGGGAGACACGCCCACATCATCATGTCACTCAAACTATCGTGTTCGCGCCAAGGCACTCATGTGGGGTTCCTTGGCGTGGAACTTTCGTACTGTTCAGATAATGTAATAATTGTGTATGTTTGTTTGTTTGTTTGTTTTATTTATTCACCATGTAAAATAACTGTTTACAGATGATAAAATTCGGTTACAATATATAATAATAATACATAGTAGGAACAATGCATAAACAAAAAATGTTTGAAGCGCAACGTCCTGGTAATTATTAGGTTTAAAATAAGACATTCTGTAATTACAAAATAAAACAAAATACAAAATCATGCACTTAATGAACCTCTTCTTGACAAAAAAATAGCACTGACATAATGTACCTCAAAAGTTATCAAGCATATTTGGAGAGAAATAATTCCTTTAGTTTTTTTGTTAAATAACAAAAGATTATTGCAAGTTCGTATTTCCTATGGCAAAGCGTTCCAAATGTCAGAACCTACATATTGAATTGATCTGTGGGCTAAAGCACTCATTGGTGTAAACAAATGGAATCAGAAGAATGTCTGGTTGGGTAGTTATGAATGTTTCTATTTAGAGTAAAATCGTTACAAAATGATAAAGGCAGTTCTTTTTTTATTAAGTCTGTACGTCTGTAGGTATACATGTAGGAATCCTCTCGGCTGGTGTTTGTGTCTAACAAGAGCAACGCTATTATTACAGATTTTCATGTATTGTAAACTTGTACATCTAATCAAGTTACCATATTATTGCCTTTATTTCCTGCATAAACAATTTATTGGTTTTTGATTGGTTGAGAGCTCTTCACGTGATAAATAAAAACAATATTTTGCAAAAAGGGCTAGCAAAATTGTTTTTAAATCTGGAAAATGTTAAATTTTGTCTGAATTTGTTTTGATATTGCTAAAAAACTGATTAGATTTGATTGAAATTCGAAATGTTTAAAATGTTCAAAAATGTATATATCAATACAATTTTTTGTGATTGTTTTATTTCGAATTTTGTTGTTGTTGATGCAGGATATAACAAAAACAAATGCAGACTGCTTTCTTTTCGAGGTACTGGTTGAAACTATTTGACTCGGGGACTCCAATAGTACCATTTGCTTCCTCAGTAAGTAGTACTATTGGAGTCACCTCTTGCCCATAGTTTCAATCAGAACCTCACATATTTGTATATATTCTGATCTATCCCATTGTTTCAAGATTCAAGATATCTTCCATTCAATACTCGCTACCTGCACGGTTGAATTGCTACTGAAACTTCATATTTAAAAATCATATACAATTTACAGAGGGAATAAAAACACATCCAAGTAAAATACAATGGCAGAAAAATTGTACACAAATTGTAAACTGAAAATGACGATAGAAATTAAATTTATTCCAACTTTATGGTCAACAGTGTTGAATTTATCATCATAATTATTGTTATAATTATTATTATTATCATCATCATCATCTTTATCATTGTTATTATCACTACTTCTACAACTACTATTATAATGTTATTAATGCTACTTCTCTTAATGAAAAACTACTGCTGTTCCTACAACCCATATTCGTAGGTTACTACAAAGTTATTTTTTTTAAAATGAATAATAAACTCGTACATTTGCAAATAGTATGATTATGATTTCATGATATATTGTGTCAAAATAAGGGTGTTCTCAAAGACTAGTGTAGACAAAATAGTAGTATGCAACACAGGCGCGTACGCAGGATTTTTTCAAGGGGGGGGGGGGTTAACATTTTCTAAATCGGGCCGAAAATTTCGCAACGACTCAGCCAGCCGCTGAATAAGAGCGGGGGGGGGGGGGGGTAAGAGGTCAATCCAAAAGGGGGTGGGGGGTTTAGAGAAATTAAGGGGGGGTTTACACACACAAAATTACCAAAGGGGGGGGGTTAACCCCCAACCCCCTGTGTACGCGCCTGATGCAACAGCCTATGAGGCAGACAGCTAAAGAGGAAGACAAATTCAGTCCCGTGAATCTTCTGACAACAATTCATGTCGGTTATATTTTATGTCTTGTGGGCTGTCGGTCTCCCCATTCTCCTTCAATGCCACTGACATTGTAGGTCTTGTGGGCTGTCTGTCTTGCTGGCCCATTCCCCATTTTACAACTCATTTACAACCGTATTGTGACTTTTTCAAATATTTTGTTCATTGTTCAAGAAAAATTTAAACACTTAAATAAAGAGAGATCATTCAACTGCCACGGACTTTTCAGTGCCACGACGCTTCGGTCGTCTGAAGAAATCTGCAAAGATACCGTACCCATGAGCCCTGTCACTTGCTCGAGGCTGCAGCGACAAACTCTGAACAGAAGGCCACTTGATTTGTTCATTCTTAGAAACAAATCTTACTTTCGTATCCTCTGTCGGGGTCAAGCAGGTCGTTTCTCCACCAGTTCCTTCTGTTTCTTCTTCAAGCTCATATTCCTTGACATGAAGCCTACCAAGATCAAGAGCATTGGTGGTAGCAGCGCGATGGAAGGTCAGTAACTCCGCTCGGTGAGCTATGTATGTTGATTCAGGAAGAAGTGAGGAGACGGCTTCTCTTTGGAGAATGGTTTCAAGGCCATCAATTTGTGCACCATGCTCGGATAATGATAGGTCTGGTTTGTGTAGCCTCTTTACTCCCTCGTTAACAAGTGTGGTCTTGTCAGACATAATTTCTAGAAAGTCATTATGGCACTCGATCATATCTTCCAATTCATGACATAACGTGTTTCCATAGGCATTGCATTCGTCGAGCAATTCCTTTTTCCTCATACGCAATTTCTTTGCTGAAACATCATAAGATTTCTCAATGTCTTGCTTTCGTTGCCTGATAGTATTTTTTACTATTCGAAGCTTCTCCTTCACAAAAGATGAGCGATTCTGAATATCCACAGATTTTTGTTCTGTTCTCTGCCGCAACAACTGTAATGTCTGTTGTTGACTTTCTTTATAGTCGGTCATCCCGATAATTTCATGCTCGTCAGCCCTATGGTTGCCTTCCAGACACCTACAACAGATGCGATCCAGACATGTAATACACACGAACTGCTGCAATTCCTGTGGATGTTCAGGACACGCGAATTGCATTTTTACAATCCCTGTCTGAATGTCTCTTGCTTTTACCACTTCATGTAAGGTATTCCGCTTATATTTCTTATGCTGTTGCAAGCAATGATCGCAAAGGAATTCTGAACAGTTCTGGCAGTAGAAGGTTGCCCTGTCTCGATCATCACCATCGCAAACGGTGCAAGATTGGCCACTGAATGCCCCATGCCTTTTATCACGCCTTGCTTTCGCATCTGATTTCTTTTTGAAATCTTCGGCAAGAGACTTTGCAATTTGATTAGTCGGAAAATTGGACACCTTATTCCCTGGTACATGAGCAACCTCACGGCACACTGGGCAAGATATATTCACAGGGAATTTTCTAATAGAGTGAAGTTGGTTTAAACAACTTTCGCAGAAGGAATGTGAGCATGGTAGAAGCTTCGGCTTGCTCAGTAAGTCCTGGCAGATTGGACATTGCAGACTATCTGACAGTTGCTTTGCCGTTGCCATATTGTGCATCTAAATCCGATCCTAAACAAAGAAAAGGAGAATTGAGAATCTTATTGTTAATCAATCGTTAATATAGATAACATTGGAATTAAATATTCCACTGGTGAATTTACAATGCTGGAAATAAACAAAAACAGTACGAAATTGGTTATATTTTTTCTATTCAAAAGAAATTGAGAACGCTATAGATCTCATCTTTTGCATCGCAAAGTCTCCATATAAAGCGATACAACACATTCCCCGGTGACCATACCTCTACGGAATAGCTACACTAAGGAAATTTCTGACTTTTACCCTAAACCTCACGCTAAATGAAAACTCTAACTCCACAAATTTAAGTGAATACCTAAAATGGCAACTCCTATTCTTATCAAATAGAGCACAGAACAAATGTCGCATTTTTTAATTTTATTTGATTTGATTTTATTTCTGCATTTTTTCCAAATAAAATATAACTGAATAACAAAGAACATATAAATGTAAAGTATAATACAACATAAACAAACAATAATTTCTTCATGTCAAAATGTTTTTTTTTACATAATATATGTACATAATAACGAAACTTATTATTTCCATAACATATTATCATAAATTTATTATCCGAACTATTCTATCGGAAAAGTGCAGGAGACCGCAATCATAAGCAGAGCTTGACAAGAATGGCGGCCTCAAAAACAAAAACAAAAAATCTTAAGGTAAAACTTAAAATGAAAAAGTGTTTAAACGATCTTTGTGTATGAGTTGGTGAGTGTGTTGTGCAAGTGTAAATATATATATATATATGTGTGTGTGTGTGTGCGCGCGCGTGTGTGCGTGTGTGTGCGTGTGTGTGTGTGCGTGTGCACGCGAGCGTACGTGTTTGTATGTGTTTGTAACGAATAGTGGAAGTGCACGTAGCTCTGTGTGGTATAGTGGAGTGGAAACAAATACAGCCTTTACAATAAAGGAAACTAAGAATACGAAATAGAAAACAAAATTTGCAAAATTGAGTTGCAATGTGAGCAAAAATTTGACAATTACCTACTGCATGTTGAAATCAGTTATGTTGATACTTCGATATAAGAGTTTTTTGAGAGATGGTTTAAAAGAATAGAGAGATGAACAATGCCTTATTGAATTTGGTAAGGAGTTCCAAACATCTGGTTTATGATGTCTTACTGACTTTTGTGCTAAAAGTATTTTAGGATTTTCTAAGTGATAATTTGTTGAACAACGTGTGGGGTATGTGTGAATGTTTGAGTTTAAACTGTAAATATTGTGAAATAGGGATGGTAGTTGAATATGAGAATATTTATACATAAAAATGCATGTCTGAACAATGTGAATATCTTGTATTTTTAATGTTTTTAAACGCTGAAATAAAGGTTCCGTGTGTGCTATATAATGCGATTTAGTGAATCGCTCTCTTTTGAAGCAAAAATAAGGAATTAATTCTTGTTAAACTACAATTACCCCACACGATATTACAATATATCACATGTGATGAAATTAGAGAATTGTATAATATAATCATAGATCTTTCAGAAAGAATTTTGTTTAACTTATACAGTATTCCAATATTCCTTGATATTGATGTATGTATATTACGTATATGCTCATTAAAATTTAGATGAGAGTCAATAGTGACTCCTAAAAATGTAACAGATTGTTTTTCAACGAGACGCAAGCCATCAATCTCAATTTTACAATTTCTTATATCATGTACGTTGGTCTGTTTAAAATAAATGAAATTTGTTTTACTAAGATTTAATGACAATTTATTAGATTTAAACCACCTTGAAATTTTCATTAATTCACAGTTTAACCGCGTTATGAGCGTATCAAAGTTTTTATGGGAATAGGAAATACTCGTATCATCAGCAAAGATGTTAAAATTTAAAAGTGAAGAGGTTTTAATAATATCATTTATATAAATAATAAATATCAATGGACCCAATATAGATCCTTGCGGTACTCCACATTTAATTGTTAATGTTGTTGATTCATGGTTTTGAAAAGATACCTATTGTTGTCTGTTTTGTAAATAATTAGTAAACCATGAAAGAGCTTGACCTCTTACGCCATAGTATTGTAATTTATGAATTAATATTTTATGATCAATCGTATCAAAAGCTTTTGACAAGTCCATAAATACTCCAACAAAATATGTCACTGTTCGCAAAAGCCTCAATTATTTTATCATACATATGCAATATTGCGTAATCGGTAGAATGACCAATTCTAAATCCGAACTGGTTAGGAATCAATGAATTATTTTTTTGTAAGAAAGTGTTAAGTCTTTTATATATTATTTTTTCGAGAATTTTAGAGATATTTGGTAATAATGAAATTGGCCTATAATTACTTATTACTGAGGAATCGTCCTTTTTATAAATAGGAATCACTTTAGCGATTTTAAGCAAATGTGAGCATACACCCGTTGAAATTGATAAATTAAATACATATATCAGGGGGGGGGGGTTACGATATTAAAGATTATTTGTTTCAATAAGTGAACACTTATACTATCATGGCCATTAGACTTTGTAGAATTAAGGGGTTGAACTACATTAATAATTTCATAATCGTTGGTTAGAGTAAGAAATAAGGAATTTTCACGTGGGAAATTCAAGGACTTATTGTAGTCCATGTCACCTGAATCAATATTAGCTGCTAAATTAGGGCCTACATCTATATAATACTTATTAAAAGCTTTTGAAATTTTAATTGGATCTGTTATTTGTTTTTCATTAATTAAGAAACATTTATTACTTTCTGTATTTTTCTTGCTTAAGAGTTCCTTTACAGTTTTCCATAATAAATTATTGTTACTTTTATTATTTTCTATGTTGTAAGAATAATATAAATTCTTGGACAATCGTATAAGAACTTTTTTCTAGGATCATTCAAAGGTGATTTAAAATAAGAGAAAAGTTATGTAACATTTGTGGTTAACCAATTAATCGAAGGTACTCATAAGACATGGACAGAACATCTTAGACAAAGCAATGTGGTGTGTTGTGAACTTTATTTGAGGGAGAGGTGGCATCTTGCGCTTTGCCCTCACCCTTCTCAAACATTACATCGTAGCATATTTGTTGACAATATCAGTTGAAATTATAACCACCATATATTTAGAAGCGTCGTTAAATTTGTCCTTGCCATGTAAACGACCCTTTCCGCGTTATTAAAGGCACGTTTTATATTTCACATGGCAGTCGTGCATGCAAAGTAATCAGGGACTTTGAACTCCCAATTCTCCAAATCCCCAAAACAAAGAGCTATGTTTTTTGTTACTATGCACAATATTTGCGAGTCACCTGCCCACTCAAAATCCAGTTGTGTCTCCACTTCCCACCCCTTCTCTCTCTCTCTCTCTGAACAAGAATTTAATAATGCATTTAACCATGTTAGCCATGTCAATTGAATTCTGCTGTATTTCATATATTATTGAAAAAGAAATCTATTTTCTTAAGATAAGATAACCCAATAATATTCTATGCTGTAATTACTTCTGTCACCATCGAACAAATAATTTACCTGGAAATAATGGCATAAAAGTGGCGTCGTGTACAATGATATCACAAGCCAAAAAGACTTTCTGATATATCCATACATCAAACCTGGAATTAATATTCAATATGGCACAGTCATTCTCATTAATAGTCTTGTTGGGCAACTAGTAAATAAACAAATTTTAATTCATTATTTTGTTACGGCTAATATAAAAGAATTACATTTAGGCACTCTTTACTCATTGACAAATCGTGGGGCATTCTTTTTTCCGAAGGTTCTTATTTCCGAAGGTTCATAATTCCAAAAATGAAAAAAGGGTTCATAATTCCGAAAATGAGAAAGGGTTCAAACACTCATTGGTTTCTCTTCGATCTCCCTTGTAAGCCAGCTCTCAAAGATTTTACTTTATCATATCTGTGCCCTTTATTGATAAGATTTTTAACACTTCACTCTGGGAAAACATCTATTCTTAATTAAAAGTAAAAAACCCAAATCTTTCAGTACATTCACTCATCTGTTTAGGCATTCTCTGTACGCAAGTAGTATCCTACATGTAGACTTCATTCTCTTGCCCATAATGCATGAGATGGAGCTAAGAAAAGCAATTTCCTAGAAATTAAATTGTGTCCTTTTAATGAACTCGCTTTGGGGACAAGCACCCTCACTCAGACGTGATGTACAAATCAACCTTAGCATTATTTTAACTCACAAATGAATTCCGTTTTAAGAGAAAAATTGCACCATTTAGGCCAATATTGAAAATGTATATGTCGACAAAGGATCTGGCCAAATACCATTGAATACCAGCCTTACTTTATTCTACATATATTCTTTTGTCATGTGTAAATTTGCAATATTTGTTTGTTATATATTTGTAAAAATGCAAAAGAAAAAGAAAATCAAACAGAAATAAATAAATCAAATAAAATCAAATCAAATAAAATTTATGAAATATATTGTTGGTACGACATCGTATGTTCTCCCGTACAACATCCCATTATACTCACAGCATGTGCAGTGTCCGAACCTCCGAGGAACCATGTAGTGGAGTTCAAAGTATTAGCTATCTCAGTTCTCAAAAAGCTCCTTTCGTTATGATCATGCACCTAGTTTATTCCTAATTATCTCCAGCTAGTTATAGGCACAAAGGGTCCAAAGGCGAGATATAGAAATAAAAACATTGTTTTGGCCAAACGACAAGCAGTGTATTGTAAAAGTTGCCACTTGATCAGTAGTTTTCACAGGATAATACCATTTATTATCATGGAAGAAATGCACGTACATAATGTACGTCATTGAACGTCCGACTTTGTCGTACCGAACACTCGATTTCATCATACCAGGAAACACCTCCCTGATTATACACTGTGATTGTGCGCTGGGTTTTCCCCACGAAAACCTATTGTCTCTCAAATTTTTCTATTTCTCTTTCTACCTCTTTCTCACCCTCCCTCACTGGGTTTTTCCCAACGAACTCTCTCCATATCCCCCTTCTCTCTATCTCTCTCTATTTCTATAACTCTTCTATCTTTCCTTCTGTCTATCTCTTTGATTAAGCACTCGGTTTTCCAAAAGAAGACTCTCTCTCTCGCTCTCTCTCTCTCCCGTTCTCTATCTACACGTGGCGTATGTCATTGACTTTTCGAATTTGTCGACATGTGTCTTTTTTCAATGGGCAAATGTAGTTGTGTCGAATATGAATTGATCCGTTTAATGCAAAGGGGAGATATTCACAACACAAGATCCAAAACTGACAAAAGTGGGGTAGGTAAAATCTACATTATTACCAGTATCAAACAAGAAAATGTATATCTAGATAGACGGCGCTATAGAAATGCCTATTATTATTATTATTATCTTTGATATATATGTATACACAATCATAATATCACTTCTAATCGTATATTTGTGATAGTATTGAAAGAAAGGAAATTAGGAGAGATAGAGAGAGAGAGAGAGATAAATATATATATATATATATATATATATATATATATATATATATATAGGGAGAGAGAGAGAGAGAGAGATAAATATATATATATATATATATATATATATATATATATAGGGAGAGAGAGAGAGAGAGAGAGAGATAGGGGAGAAAAAGAAAGAGAAGGAGAGACCATCAGCCCAACATATAGTTTAGAGAAAGGTTAAAGTAGAGATACTTGGTTTGTGGAAGATAATATATATATACTACCGATAACCATATTGTACATGCATGCACTACATTAAACCCTTATCATTATTGAGCAGTTGTCTTTTACTTTGGCTAAATACCTCAGTTCAATAATCATCAACAGTACATTCGTGTCTTGAGATTTTACGTTATTGATGCATTTTTATTTCCCGCGGTCACATACATGCACAAATGTGTTGCATGCAGGTGAAAAACCGATTGTTATCTGCAGCATCGGTAATAACGACACTCATACAATAACCAATATAAGATAAACATTTTTTTAGGTTACGGGAATTATTAAACATTATGTAGGAAAACATTTCGAGGAAAACTTCCTTTCATGTTTTGACAGGTTTTTCCTTCATAAAGTTTATTTTCATTTCCCACGTGCATGAAAAGCACGCCAAAGCCAGTAAGGTCGAACAGGTGCATTGAAAATGCACATGAGAAAAAAGTGTACACAAATTGAAAATTTAAAATGACTTTAGAAACTAACCTTGAAATAGGAAATCATAGAAATTGAAAAAAAAGTAGAAACCAGTTGAAAGTAACTTAGAAAATATGAAACATATTTTTTAAAAATTTAATTTACTACTGCTTCTTCTCCTAATGAGTAATCATGATTGCTGTTTTTTCAACACATACTCTAGGTTACTACAACAATTATTGTTTTAAAGTGATTAATAAACTCGTACATCTGCAAATAGTATGATTATGATTTCATGATATACTGTGGCAAAATGAGAGTGTCCTCAAAGACTAGTGTAGACAAAATAAGAGTGTCCATAAAGACTACTGTAGAAAAAATAATAGTGGACAACAGGCTATGAGACAGACAGCCAAAGAGGAAGGCAAAGTTGCCTTCTGACAACTAATCATTTCAGTTATATTAAATGTCTTGTGGGCTGTCGGTCTCCCTATTCTCCTACAATGCCACTGACAGTGTAGGTCTTGTGGGCTGTCTGTCTTGCTGGCCCATTCCTCATTTTACAAATCATTCACAACCGTATTGTGACTAGTTCAAATATTTGGTTAATTGTTCAAGATAATTTGAAACACTTATATATGATCAACTGCCACTGACTTTTCAGTTCCAAGACGCTTCAGTCGTTTGAAGAGACCTGCAAAGATAGCGAACACAGGAGCCCTGTCACTTGCTCGAGGCGGCAGGGACAAACTCTGGAAAGAAGGCCACTTGATTTGTTCATTCATAGAAACACATCTTACTTTTCTATCCTTTATCGGGGTCAAGCAGGTCGTTTCTCTACCACTTCCCTCTGGTTCTTCTTCAAGCTCTTATTCCTTAACATGAAGCCTACCAAGATCAAGAGCACTGGTGGTAGCAGCGCGATTGAAGGTCAGTAACTTCGCTTGGTGAGCTATGTATGTCGACTCAGGAATAAGTGCGGAGAGGGCTTCTTCTCCTCCTTTGAGAATGGTTTCAAGGCCATCGACTCGCGCAGCATGCTCAGATATTGATAGGTCTGGGTGGTGTGGCCTTTTGACTCCCTCGTTTACAAGTGAAGCCTTGTCAGATATAGTTTCTAGAAAGTCATTATGGCTGTCGATTATATCTTCCAATTTATGACAAAACGTGTTTCTATAGGTATTACATTCATCGAGCAATTCACATTTCCTCCTTCGCAATTGCTCAGCTGCAACATCGTATGTATTCTTAATTTCTTGCTGTCGTTGACTGACACTATTTTTCACAGTTTGAAGCTTTTCCTTTACAAAAGATAAGTGATTCTGAATAATCACAGATCTTTGTTCTGTTTTCTGCAGCAAAAACTCAAATGTCTGTTGTTGACTTTCTTCATATTCGGTCATCCCGATGACTCCATGCCCGTCAGCCCTATGGGTGACTTCCAGACACCTACAACAGATGCGATCCAAACATGTAATACACACGAACTGCTGCAATTCTTGTGGATGTTCAGGACACGCGAATTTCATTTTGACAAACCCTGACTGAATGTCTCTTGCTTTTACCACTTCATGTAAGGTATTCCGCTTATATTTCTTATGCTGTTGTAAGCAATGATCGCAAAGAAATTCTGAACAGTTCTGGCAGTAGTAGGTGGCAATGTCTCGATCATCACCATCGCAAACGGTGCAAGGTTGGCCACTACATGCCCCATGCCTTTTACCACTCCTTGCTTTCGTATCTGATTGCTTTTTGAAATCTTCGGCAAGAGACTTTGCAATTTGATTAGTCGGAAAATTGCACACGTTATTCCTCGGTACATGAGCAACCTGACGGCACACTGGGCAAGATATTGTGACAGTGAATCCTTTAAAAGAGTGAAGTTGGTATAAACAACTTCCGCAGAAGGAATGTGAGCATGGTAGAAGCTTCGGCTTGCTGAGTAACTCCGTGCATATTGGACATTGCAGACTATCTGATAGTTGCTTGGTCGCAGCCATCTTGTGCATCTAAATCCGATCCTAGATAAAGAAAAGGAGAATTGAGAATCTTATTGTTAACCAATCTCTGATATGGATGCAATTTGAATTGTATATTCCACTGGTGCATTTACAATGCTGAACACAAAAATCAAACGAATTAAATTGGTTATATTGATTTCGTTCAATTCAAAAGATATTGGGAACGCTATGGATCTCATCTTTTGCATCGCAAAGTGTTGACAATATCATTTGAAATGATACTATAACAACAATTTATAATCATCGTTGATTTGATTTGATTTGAATTCTTCATTTTTCCAAATTTTATAAGTGAATAAAAAAAATGTATTAGGCATAATACAAAATAAACAAACAATAATATAAACTTCGTGTCAAAATGTTTTATATATACATATAATAACAAAACTTAAAATTCTATAAGATATTATTATAAATTTAAGGTATTATGCGAACTGTAAAATTTTTTGGTTATGATAAAACACAGATCGGTTTCTCTGTGATTTTTTTTGTGAGCCAGCTCTCCAAGAAGACATTTGATCATATGTGTGCCCTAGATAAACGACCGGTGAGATTTTGTTTACACATCACTCTACGAAAACGTCTATTCTCAATTTTATTTTAAATCTCAGTCCATTAAACACTTTCTTTGGGCATTTTCTCTATACAATTATTATGCTAGATGGAGACATTATTCCCTTGACTATATTACTTGAAATGGGGAAAAGGAAAAACAGATTGAGAGAGCGGGATTTGTCCTTTAATGAACCCGCTTTTTGGACAAGCACCCTCATTTAGACGTGATGTACAAATCAAACGTAGCATTATTTTGACTCATAAATTATTTCCATTTCAAGAAAAATTTGCACCGTTTAAGCCAATACTTTCAATTTATGTAGATAAAGGATCTGGTCAAATACCACGAATACATATGGGTTAAGCTTCGTCAAAAAACGCATGCGGTACGTCTTCGAGTAGGCCCTTACAAATTTGCATAGAAAGCGACAACTATTGACTAATGGACTCACGTATTTGGGGACACGTGGGTGTGGGTTATGTGTGTGTATGTGGGGGATGTATGATTGTGGAGAATGTGAAGAGGAGAAGCGAGATAAATAAATAAAATATTGTTCATAAATTTGGAATTCCCTATCATTTTTACAGTCTGTTCTAATTAATAATTCATTAACAAGACTTAACAAGACATAACTACAAGAATCATCTTCTCTCTCTTTATAATGCATAACTTATTTATAGACTATATCTCTTATACCTAAATGCAACCCCCTACCTTTTTGATTATATATTTAACGGATGCTCCATTTAGTGTCACTTGTATATATTATGGTATATACTCCATATGTTCTTTATACTTTGAAAGTTATTACGTCAATTTATATGTAAATTTGATATTGTTTCCCGTGTCGTGGTCGAGTGGTCTCGACCAAGGCGCTTGACTGGAGACGCGAAGGTCGATGGTTCGAATCCCGACACGGCACTAATATCCTTTGGCAAGATATTAACCTGCATTTGCTTCTCTCTCCCCAGGTGTAAAATGGGTACCCGGTAGGATGCGACCGTCATTGTTGGTCAAACAGAGGGTCAAGTAACGCCTGGCTGGAATGCTCCCCAGGGAGTGGAGATTGTGTACACACAGTGTGTGCGGGCAAGCACTGAATCCATTGACCGGGGTAATAGTATATTTGTAAAGCGCTTAGAGATATTGTATTAAGCGCTATATAAAAGCTAAATAGTATTGTGATGTTCCATAGGTTATCTTTGTACATATTGTCTTGACGATGGAAATATATTTCAGTTCAATCAATTCAAATTAAATGAATACTAATCAGAAAAATATCATAGAGATGAACAACGTATTGCATAATCACCCTCCCCTCCCCTTTCCCGGTAGTAAAGGGTGTGATAGCCTGCCTAGACAATACGTCTATCATTATTGAAGTGACATTAAACTAGGCTGCCATGGGATGAGGAGACTACGTATTACAAAATAGTCCCACGCAATAAGAATACATGTATGATATATATATACATTGTTGGTACGTCAACGTATGTTCTCCTGTACAACATTGACCTAAACATGGCATCCAGTATTTAACAGGTAATCAGCAACATTATTCTATTATACTCACAGCTTGTGCAGTGTCTGATGAACCATGTAGTGGAGTTCACCGGTTTAAGCCTCGGTCACAAATGCCATTAAGAACTGCTACGAACGCCGTACGAACAATTTCAGACAATGGAAATTCGGGAAGACAATGGAAAAACAGGGAGATTCGTACGAATTTCTCGTTCATACGAACCTTTGTGACCGTAGCTGTAGCTATCTCAGTTCTCAAAACGCTCTCTTTGTTATCACCGTGTGCATTATTATGATCAAGCAATTAACCCCAGCTAGCTATTAGCACAAAGGGTCCAAAGGCGAGATATAGAAATATAAACATCGTTTTGGCAAAACGATAAAAGTAGCCACTTGATCTGTAGTATTCACATGATAATACCATTTATCATCACGGAAGATATGCATGCAAAGGTACGTCATTGAACCTCCGACTTATCGTAACAAGGAGTTCTAAGAGATGGAGTCATATCGAGCTCATTCCCTTTGTACTATCTTCGATGCCGCCAGGAGAAATATTTCAGGCATGTGTTTATCTGGATCTTTATGTAGATACTTAGACAAAAGATTCTTGCCTAGCTGCAAACTAACGGCCATTTTCAGAGGGAAATATGCTTTTGTAATGATAATTACCTTTCGCTGCTACTCGTCTGATATTACGAGCATTACGCAGGGCTTACCTTTATAGGAGGCAAGCAAAGTGAAATGGAGCAAAATAACAGCAAACCTGTAGATTCTATCGTGCAACCTTAGAAAACGGCAGCTGCTTGAAATAATTTTTTGCCAGTCTGGACTCAGGCTCTTAAAACTCCTTGACCGTACCTAATGCTATGGTCACATTACCCAAAAGTAGTCTGCTCGGCGGCCGAGCGGCGAGTTTTTAACCAATTCTGCCCGGCGGCTGCCCGGCCACCGAGCAGCGGCCGCCCAGGCACCGCTCGTTTTTAGGGCATCGCTCGGTCGCCGCTGAAGTTTTAGCGCGGAGTTAAAATTTGGGCGGCGCCTGCTCACTTTTCACTCGCCGCCCAAAATACGCTCGGTGCCTGGGCGGTCGCCGCCCGGGCACCGACCTAATCGCTGGGCGATGCCTAATTCCAGCAGCGACCGAGCAGGCTACTGATCGGTCGGTCGCTGCTCTGATTTGTGACCATAGCTTAACAGCCGATTTCATTAAACGCTGGGATTGTGCGCTTTTCAAACAAACACTAGTCTTGTCTGTCAAATTCTATCTTTCTCTCTTTCTATCTCTTAGATTAAGCACTCGGTTTTCCAAAAGAAGACTCGTTGTCTCTCCGTCTTTCTTACTCTCTCTCTCTCTCTCTCTCTCCCTTCTCTTTTACGTCTCCATATCTTCACGTTGCGTATGTCATTGAGTTTTCGAATTTGTTGACAGGTGTCTTTTTTCAATGGGCAAATATAGTTGTGTCGAATGTGAATTGATCCGTTTAATACAAAGGGAAGATATTCACAACATAAGAGCCAAAACTAAAAAAGTGGGGTAGGTAGAATTTACTTTATTACCAATATCAAACAGGAAATTTATATCTTTGATATGTATATAATATACAATCATAGTATCACTTTTAATCGTATATTTGTGATAGTATTGAAAGAAAGGAAATCAGGATATATATATATATATATATATATATATAGGGGGAGAGAGAGAGATAGGGGAGAAAGAGAAAGAGAGACCATCAGCCCAACATATAGTTTAGACAAGGCTATAGTAGAGATACTTATTTTGTGGAAGATAATAGATATACTACCGATAATCATATTGCATATATGCATGCATTACAGTAAACGCTTACCATTTACCAGCAATCTGTCTCTTACTAAGGCTAGATATCTCCCCGCCCCCCACTCAGTGTTATTTAGGGTATGCATATACGTGTTCCCTCCTTTTGAAAACACCCCCGTTGTGTAAAGTCAATTTTGTGTATGTACGAGCCGGACTTTGGTGCGTGAAAAGTACCCCTTTACCGGATATTTTGGTAACACGCATGCGGTCATTCCGACCCCGGAGTGGGGGGGGGGGGGGCAGGGGATATCTCAGTACAGCAATCTTCAAAACAGTACATTCGTGCCTTGAGATTTTACTTTATTGACGTATTTTAATTGCCCGCGGTCAAATACGTGCACAAATGTGTTGCGCGATGCATGCCGGTGAATAACCGATTCCTATCACCATCATCGGTAGTACCAACAAGAATGACACCAGACAGTCACAAGATAAAAGGTGATCGTCCTATTTGAACTAGCCCAGTCACATTGACAACACCGTCAAAAGACAAACGAACAATTGTATCACCCTGAAAGGCTTGAAATCTGTCTGATTTGAGCCGGTTTATAATCTGATTGGCGGTGTGACTGGGGATAGTGGGTTTCAATTTCTAGAGGAACGAACTTTTTATTTTGAACGATACTTATGAAAAACCGATGATTTCTCGGTGCGAAGTTCTGTTTTTCATCCCTCACAGTATTATTATTCACACATTAATATTAAAAGATGTTCCTGTTTGGCCCGTCTGCACGATATGAAATCGAGTGAGAACAAGTAAACTTGGAATCGAACGGTGTGTTCTTCTTGGGGTTATTTAACATTGCACTAATCTTATGAAGTGACCTTTGAAAGTTATTTGACGCTATTTTCTAAACCACCCTTAGCATACACATGTACTTACATAGCTTATCATGCGAATATAGGTATATTATATGACTGTTGTCCCACACAAACAGCGGACGAGTGTTTTTGCCTTAACTTATCATATCACATGATTCGAATGATACCACACTGAACTTTATCGAATCCCCAGTGTTTGCATTTAAATCTTGATTTTACTACTACTACAAAAGGATCTTTTTAATATAATGATAGACTTTTCTTATCTTCATAGCAAATACATATGATTTCAACTTTGAACAGGCTTTGCAATCATCATAAATGACAACATCCAAAGAAATCAATCTTACGTTCAAAAAAGTGGCACTGTGTATTCAAATAAAGTTTTTGTTATTCATGTTTACATAAAAACTGTTTGATTCATGAACTTTTTGCATTCCCAATTTTGAAAGTACATGTATAAATTCAATTCAAATTCAAACTTAATTGGTCCAAAAGGAAATTTGTCCTATTACATGCATTATTCACAGGGAAAATAGATAACATGTACATGTGACATGAAACATACAACATAAAACGAGTATACAGAAAAAAATATTACTTTAACATTCTTATTATATAGATATTTTCTCTGAATTTAAATTATTGACAATAATTGTTCCTATATCTAGAGTAATTACTTAAACAATATAACATTGTACTCATTATTACTATTATCATTATCAATATCAATTTTATTATTATTATTATTTGTATTGATATTATTATTAGTTTGAATCATTATACCATTATGATAGTTTGAAATAATTATGAATAAACAAGCAATATATTATGACATTATGAGTATTAATAGAAAAAAAGCCTTTTTCATTTCATTTGGGAAAAGACAGCTATTACAAGAAAGTATATACAATTGTCCTATAATAAATACAAATAGATGTGTGATCATTTTCTACAATAAAATATAAAAGAATATAATTTGAGTGATAGATTTTACATTTTACATTTTATTCAACATACTGTTTGTTATGTGACATAATCGTGACATAATCGTGTAGAGTAAGCATATCAACTGAACAAATATGGTACTATGGTACAAATGGTAATTAATATCAGTATTTCTAGATAATTAAACCGCTCTTGCTCCAAATTATGTGACACCTCATTTTGACATTACATTGAATGATCCGTGTACGTCAACATGTACAACCCCATAGATCTGGGAGCAATACTATGGAAGGAATTTTTAGATGAGTAACAAATTATAATTCAAGTGATATTCAGGGAATATACATGAAATATTAATACAATTGATGCCATATATTCTCACATGCAAATTCCGACTATAAAAAAAACGATCGAATTTAAACTTTGAATAGTAGATACGAAGAGTGACATGGAGGTACTATCAAATAATATGCATATCTTCACCAAAACAGTTTACTGTAAATGTACAGCTTATCTAGAGTACAAAGGACGACCTTTCCTCCCGTTACTTTCTGCAAGAAGCACCATTTCCCATCTGGTTTCTCCATCTTCTGATCAGCTACAAGGGTCTGTGTGTACTCGAGCTCACTCGTGTACCGCTCGATACTAAACACTGCCTTACTGTGATCCATACAGGCCAAGAGTATGGTACCATCCTGGCAAACAGAAGGGTGAATGTGAGAACCTACTTCCTTGGTGATGAAGTGTATGAAATGCTTAAAATGGCCTGAAACGTATCCAAAATGAATTTGAGGCGATTTGGAGCATTTTGAAATTTGCGCGCGCACTGTCGCGCGGACGTACGCGTACGCGCGCGTTTTTTGACCTGAAATTGACCGGACTGATATTGACCTTGATCATGGTAAATATGAATGAGAAAGGGCTTTCAGTTATGAAGTTATGATCATTTGAGATTTTCCAAAAAAAAACACAAAATGGCGCCTGGATGACGTCATGAAAACTTGATGACCTTGAAAAGGTTCCTGTCACGTCTTATGGCAATGACCTATGACTGTGCTAAAATTGAAAGAAATTGACTGGACGGATCTTGAGTTATCGTCGGAACAAAAAAGTGGAAGAAATAAAAATAAAGAAATAAAGAAAGAAAATTTGAACAAAAACAATAGGTATTCCGTCGAAGACAGACCACCTAATAAAAAGTACAAATTTAGCAAGTAATCGAGAGATCACACGCAAAAGCTGCCACAGGCGCGCGGCCAAACATGTCACACCTTCATAAAATCTCACAAGCTCCCAGTTCTTGACCCGAACAGTTCCAAGCTCAAGACCCTCGGCAGCTAGGTGGAAGGTCAGGAGTTTAGCACGGCGTGCTATAGATTCAGCAAGAGATGCATCCGGGTTGTCTCTTTTCACGAGAGCCTCAAGCTCACCAACTCGTGCGACACGCTCAGACAACGACTGGTCTGAGCGTCGAGAAGTACACTCTTCAGTGACTACAGAAGCATTGGCTGATAGGTTTTCAAGGAAGTCATCGTGGCACTGGATGATTCCTTCCAGATCTTCGCAGAGCGATCTCTGATAGGTGTTGCACTCTTCAAGCAGTTGATCTTTCCTTCGTCGTATTCGTTCGACAGCGCCCTCAAAGACATTCTTGATTTCTTGCCTTTGTTGACCGATAATATTTTCAACCATGCCAATCTGCTCCTTCACAAAGGACGAATGGCTTTGTATCACAGCAGTTTTCTGTTCTATCTTTTGCTGCAAAAGATCAACTGCTGCTTTGTGGCTCTCTTCATACTCTTCAATTCCGATGACCTCATGCCTTTCAGGCTGATGACCCACTTCCAAACACCTACAACAGATGCCAACCAGACATGTGATACACACAAACTGCTGCAGTTCTTGAGGATGTTCTGGACACGCAAGTTGGATTCTGATTTCCCCTGATGCGATGTCTCTAGCACTAACGAGCTCGTGGAAGACATTCTTCTTAAACCTTTTGTGCTGCTTAAGACAATAATCGCAGAGGAATTCTGAACAATGCTGACAGTAGAATGTAGCAATCCCTTGATCAACAGCATCACACACGGTACAACGTTGGTCAGAGGAAGCGCCACCCGCTGTATTGGTCGCTCTCTTCTTGTCCGATCTATCTTTGAAATCTTCTGCAAGGGACTTAGCAATTTGATTGGTTGGAAAGTTGGATACGTTATTGTTTAACACAGGTGCAATAGAGCGACAGACAGCGCACGTTATTCGATCACCCAGAGCTTGAGTTGAGTGGAGTTTGGTTAGACAACCTTCACAGAATGTGTGTGAGCAAGGTAGAAGCTTCGGCTTGGTGAGAAGATCTTTGCAGATTGGACATTGTAGACTGTCTGTCAGATGTTGCCTTGTAGAGGCCATTATGTTGACATGTGTCTGGTAAGAAACAAAGAAATCCCTGAAATGAGCGACTGTGCCAACGTCATATCCTTGTCAATAAAGTTTGTTAATGTAACAATAAATCAATCAATCAAATGACTCTAATTTTCCTAACAGTAAATAGATAAGAGCAGGCGCGTACGCAGGGGGGGGGGGGGGGGGGGGGGGGGGGGTGGGGTTAAACCCCCTCTTGAGTTTTTTATGTATACGTTTTGTGTATGGTTTTTTGTGAAAAATTATACCAAGGGCTGACCTAAAAAAGAAGGTGACCTTACCCCCCCCCCCCAACGGAACAAAATGTCAATTTTTCAAATTTCGAGTCCAAAAAAAAAAAAAAGGCCTCTTACCCCCCCCCCCCCCCCCCACTGAGCAACTTTTCGGCTGGCTGAGTCGTTGCGATTTTTTTTGGACTCCCCCTACCCCAAACAAAAGTGTCCTTTTATAACCCCCCCCCCCCCCCCCCCCCCCCCCCCCCACTGAGCGACTTATTGGCTGGCTGAGTCGTTGCGATTTTTTTGGACTCCAAAAAAAAAAAAAAAAGTGTCCGCTTCCCCCCCCCCTCCCCCTCCCCACTGAGCGACTTTTCGGCCGGCGCGATTTTCAAATTTTCGGGAGCAAATTTTTCGAGCCCGATTTTAACCCCCCCCCCCCCTCCTTGAAAAAAATCATGCGTACGCCACTGGATAAGAGTTATCTCTGTAAAATGATACACTAGTCTTCCATTTTCACTAGGTAATTTCTATTTAGCATTATGATGATAATCCATCAATATTTGTATTATGCTGGAAGGAATTTACATCTGTAAATTCTCCTAATTCTCTTTTTAATCCAATATCATATTGCGTCCCACGGGGCTCTATTTGGGGGGGGGGGCCTCTGTTATTTTTTAATCACATCAATGATATTGTAAATTTTGTCACTTTCTGTAAATTCACACTTTTTGCACACGTGTCTAAATTGATACCCGATTGGCCTCGAGTCAGGCCACGGAATAGCACATATTCTCGTCAGTTTACACTCCTTTAAGGTGTCGTGGGACGTGGAGAATATGTATTTGGATATAATCCCGGCACTACATAGTCCCACGCATTAACAATACATTTATGACATATATTGTTGGTACGTCAACCTATGTTCATCCTTACAACATTGACCTAAAACATGGCACCTAATATTTAGCAGGAAGTCAGTAACATTATACTCACGGCATGTGCAGTGTCTGAGGAACCATGTAGTGGAGTTCAACGGCTTAGCTATCTCAATCTTCAAAAAATCACTTCGGTATCACCGTGTGCCTAATTATGATCAAGTAAAATTTTCATTTCTAATTAACTCCAGCTAGCTGTAGGAACAAAGGATCCAAAGGCAAGATATAGAAATATAAAAATTATTTTGGCAAAACGGTACGCAGTCTATTGTAAAACTCAGCCGCTTGATCTGTAGTTGTCCCACGATGATACCATTTTCTGTCATATATATACATGTTCGTCATCGAACTCCGACTTTATTGTACCATTTCGATATCGTTCAACGCTTGGATTGTCCGCTGGGTTTTCCCCACGAACACTCATTGTCTCTCCATTTCTCTCTCTCTTACCCTCCCTCGATGGCTTTCTCCAAACGAACGCTCATTGTCTCTCCATTTCTCTCCCTCTTACCCTCCCTCATTGGCTTTTTCCAAACGAACACTCATTGCCTCTCCATCTCTCTCTTATATCTTTATCTCTGGATTGTCAGCTGGGTTTTCCCAACGAACACTCATTGTCTCTCCATTTCTCTCCCTCTTACCCTCCCTCATTGGCTTGTTCCAAACGAACACTCATTGCCTCTCCATCTCTCTCTTATATCTTTATCTCTGGGATTGTCAGCTGGGTTTTACCAAAGAACACTCATTGTCTCTCCATTTCTCTCTTATATCTTTATCTCTGGGATTGTCAGCTGGGTTTTACCAAAGAACACTCATTGCCTCTCCATTCTCTCTTATATCTTATCTCTGGGATTGTCAGCTGGGTTTTACCAAAGAACACTCATTGTCTCTCCATTTCTCTCTTATATCTTTATCTCTGGGATTGTCAGCTGGGTTTTACCAAAGAACACTCATTGTCTCTCCACCTTTCTCTTTTATACCTGTGTCTCTTTCCCTCTCTATCTCCGGAATTGTTCGCTGGGTTTTCCCCACGAACACTTGTTGTCTCTCTTCGTCCCTCTTTTTATCTCTGTTTTTGTTCTCTCTCTATTAACGTCTCCATCGCTACCCGTTGGGTAGGTCATTGATAACAACTCGAGTTTTTGACAGGATTTTTTTTTAACGAAAAATATAGTTGTGTCGAATGTGAATTGATCCAGCCGATATCTAAGCTACAAAATACAATAATGTACATCCTTATTCATTATACCATGGGCATGCATAATCCTGGATACCTTCCGAAGATTATGATATTTGACAAGTAGGTAGAATAAATCATCCATTATTTGAAAAGAATGGGGGAAATAGTTTCTCCCACAAGCAATAAAGCAATAAGACCAACACTGAAAGCACTGAGATTTGAATATATTGTAGTGTAATACATATGGATGTACAATTTATAATAATCAGTTTTGTATAATCAGAAAAGCTTGAACATGAAATCAAGCCAGGCTAATGAAAATTACAAATCATGATGAAATACATTCGAACATTTGAACTGTACTGAAAAAAGTGGGGTAGGTAAAATCTACCTTAATACCAATATAAACAAGAAATGTATATCTGTGGTATATAATATACAATTATTTATATCATTTCTAATCGTATTGTGATAGTATTGAAATAAAGGAAAACAGGGACAGAGAGACGGGGAAAGAGAAAGAGAGACTATCAGCCCAAAATATGGTTTCGAGAAAGGCTATAATACATGCAGATATTTGCTTTGTAGAAGATAATAAATATGCTACCAATAATCATATTTTACATGCATGCATTACATCGAACTCTTATCATTTACGAACAATCCATCTCTTACTTAGGCTAGATATCTCAGTTCAGTATTCTTCAAAACAGTACATTCGTGCCTTGAGATTTTACTTTATTGACGTATTTTAATTGCCCGCGGTCAAATACGTGCACAAATGTGTTGCGCGATGCATGCAGGTGAATAACCGATTCCTATCACCATCATCGGTAGTACCAACAAGAATGACACCAGACAGTCACAAGATAAAAGGTGATCGTCCTATTTCAACTAGCCCAGTTACATTGACAACACCGTCAAAAGACAAACGAACTATTGTATTACCCTGAAAGGCTTGAAATCTGTCTGATTTAAGCCGGTTCTTGTAATCTGATTGGCGGTGTGACTGGGGATAGTGGGTTTCAATTTCTTGAGGAACGAACTTTTTATTTTGAACGATGCTTGATTGATACCGATTGATTTCTCGGTGTAAAGTTCTGTTTTTCATCCATTCCAGTATTATTATTTACACATCAATATTAAACGATTTCGGACAGACGGCCGATACGAAATCGAGTAAGAACAGGTAAACTTGTTGGAATCGAACGGTATGTTCCATTCTTGGGGTTATTTAATAATGCACTAATCTTTATCAAAGGACCTTTGAAAGTTATTTGACACTTTCTTCCAAGCCACCCTGAGCAAATGTTGCATAATTTCCGAGAACGCGGGACTTGTAAGTGGTTCATTACATGATTGTTGTTCCACACAAACATAAAACAAACAGCGGACGAGTATTTCTTTTTATAGCAAACATATATTATTTGAACTTTGCTCATCAGGCTTTGCAATTATCATCAATGACAACTTCCATAGAAATCAAAAGGAAGTTAGAAAAAGAGGCACTGTGTATTATAGTCTTGTTTACCCAGGGTAGCCTCATCAGTATTCGTACTGTTCTCCCTGAGGGAAATCATATTATTACCCCAGTCATCGGATTCAGGCTTACCCGCACACAATGTATGCACATTTTCCACTCCCTGGGGAGCATTCCAGCCAGTGCATCATTTTTACAAGCGCACACTTGCTAATCTAAGAACATTAGCTTTCGCATCCTACCGGGTACCCATTTAACACCTGGGTGGAGAGTGGCAAATGTAGATCAATGTCTTGCCAAAGGACATTAGTGCCGCGGTGGGACTTGAACCGCAGACCTTGTGATCCACAGTCCGGTGACATATCCACTCGTCCACGACACCTCTACAATTGTTATTCATGTTCACATAAAAAACTATATAACTAATGAACTTTTTGCATTCCTACTGTTGAAATCACATGTATGAATACTGTTTGTTATGTGACATAATCGTATAGAATAAAAATATCAACTGAACAATTATGGTAATATGGTACAAATGGTCATTAATATCAGTATTTCTAGAATTCCGCTCTTGCAACAAATTATGTGACACCTCTTTATTACGTTATTATACCAGCGTGCATTCTTAAATGAATACAACAACAATTGAGGCAAAAGTATATCGCTCTTAATATAATCGGAACGCTGTTATTTTGCATTAAAAAGTGATATTTATCAAATAAGAATAATATAAAAAATCCTGTGCAAAATCAGGACCTTACCTACGTGGATAAATCTTGATACTACAGAAACGAACTCTAAATGAAAATTCACTTCAAGACAGTGGCGGACCCAGGGGGGGGGGGGAGGCCCAGGGGGCCCGCCCCCTCCCCCTTGAGAAAAAAATCATGTAAAAACACGTGATTTTTACCTTTTTGGGGGGTTGGGCCCCCCTGGCGCTCAAAGGGAGGGGGGGGGGGTACAAAATTGTAAATTTTCAAGGACCCCCCCCCAAAAAAAATGTGCTCACTACCCCCCCCCCCCCCTCCCCCCACCCCCATTGAGCGAATTTTAGACCGGCGCGATTTTCAAATTTTCGGGAGCGAAAAAAATAAAGAAATGTTGGCCCCCTCCCCTATGAAATCCTGGATCCGTGCCTGCTTCAAGAGATACCCTTTACGGAGTGTTATCACAGTAATAGTGTTGGAATAGACCTATACACGATTCTACTCCAGGAAAAACTACAGCTTTGCACAAACATTGAATGATCTGTGTACGTCATCATTCACGAACCCATCGATCTGGCAGCCAAAACACGGTTTGAACTTGGTGGAAGGTCAGAGATTTTGCACGGAGTGTTATAGATTCAGCAGGAGATGCATCAGGATTGGCTCTTACCACGAGAGCCTGAAGCTCTTTAACTCGTGCGACACGCTCAGACAACGGCGGGTCTTTACGTTGAGAAGTACACTCTTCGGTGACTACAGAAACCTTGGCTTGCAAGTTATCAAGTAAGTCATCCTGACATTGGATGATATCTTCAAGAGATTTGCAGAGCGATCTTTCATAGGTGTCGCACTCTTTAACCATATGGTCTTTCCATTCTCGTAAATGTTTGTGAGCGCCCTCATAGAAATTCTTCATTTCTTGCCTTTGTTGACCGATAATATTTTGAACAATGCCAATCTGCTCCTTCACAAATGACGAATGGCTCTGTATCAGAGCAGTTTTCTGTTCTACTTCTTCCGGCAAAGAATCAACTACTTCTTTGAGCCACTTGTCACACTGTTCAATTCCGACGATCTCATGCCCGTCATGCTGATGACCCACTTCCAAACACCTACAGCAGGTGCGAACCAAACATGTGATACACGCGAACTGCTGCAGTTCTCGAGGATGTTCTGGACACGCAAGTTGTATTCTGATTTCTCCTGATGCGATGTCTCTAGCACTAACGAGCTTGTGGAAGACATTCTTCCTAAACCTATTGTGCTGCTCAAGACAAGAGTCGCAGAGAAATTCTGAACAATGCTGACAGTAAAAGGTAGCAAGTCCTTGATCATCATCATCATCACACACGGTGCAACGTTGGCCAGAGGATGTTGAGTCTGTCGATCTCTTCTTGTCCGATCTCTCTTTGATATCTTCTACAAGGGACTTGGCAATTTGATTGGTTGGAAAGTATGATACGTTGTTGTTGGACACGTGGGCAACAGAGCGACACACAGGGCACGGTATCTGATCACGCCAAGCTTGAGTTGAGTGGACTTGGGTTAGACAACCTTCACAGAATGTGTGTGAGCAAGGTAGAAGCTTCGGCTTGGTGAGAAGATCCTTGCAGATTGGACATTGTAGACTGTCTGTCAGATGTTGCCTTGTAGAGGCCATTATGTTGACATGTGTCTGGTAAGAAACAAAGAAATCCCTGAAATGAGCGACTGTGCCAACGACATATCCTTGTCAATAAAGTTTGTTAATGTAACAATAAATCAATCAATCAAATGACTCTAATTTACATAACAGTAAATAGATAAGAGCAGGCGCGTACGCAGGGGGGGGGGGGGGGGGGAGTTTGGGGTTAAACCCCCCTTGAGTTTTTTATGTATATGTTTTGTGTTTGGTTTTTTGTGAAAAATTATACCAATGGCAGGCCTAAAAAAAAGGTGACCTTACCCCCCCCCCCCAACGGAACAAAATGTCAATTTTTCAAATTTCGAGACCAAAAAAAGTGTCCTCTTACCCCCCCCCCCCCCCCCCCCCCCACTGAGCGACTTTTCGGCCGGCGCGATTTTCACATTTTCGGGAGCAAATTTTTCGGGCCCGATTTTAAACTCCCCCCCCCCCATCTTGAAAAAATCATGCGTACGCCACTGGATAAGAGTTATCTCTGTAAAATGATACACTAGTCTTCCATTTTTCACTAGGTAATTTCTATTTAGCATTATGATGATAATCCATCAATATTTGTATTATGCTGGAAGGAATTTACATCTGTAAATTCTCATAATTCTCTTTTTAATCCAATATCATATTGCGTCCCACGGTGCTCTATTTGGGGGGCCTCTGTTATTTTTTAATCACATCAATGATATTGTAAATTTTGTCACTTTCTGTAAATTCACACTGTTTGCACACGTGTCTAAATTGATACCCGATTGGCCCCGAGTCAGGCCACGGAATAGCACATATTCTCGTCAATTTACACCCCTTTAAGGTGTCTTGGGACGTGGAGAATATGTATTTGGATAATCCCTGCACTACATAGTCCCACGCATTAACAATACATTTATGATATATATTGTTGGTACGTCAACCTATGTTCATCCTTACAACATTGACCTAAAACATGGCACCTAATATTTAGCAGGAAGTCAGTAACATTATACTCACGGCATGTGCAGTGTCTGAGGAACCATGTAGTGGAGTTCAACGGCTTAGCTATCTCAATCTTCAAAAAATCACTTCGTTATCACCGTGTGCCTAATTATGATCAAGTAACATTTTCATTTCTAATTAACTCCAGCTAGCTGTAGGAACAAAGGATCCAAAGGCAAGATATAGAAATATAAAAATTATTTTGGCAAAACGGTACGCAGTCTATTGTAAAACTCAGCCGCTTGATCTGTAGTTGTCCCACGATGATACCATTTTCTGTCATACATGTACGTCATCGAACTCCGACTTTATTGTACCATTTCGATATCGTTCAACGCTTGGATTGTCCGCTGGGTTTTCCCCACGAACACTCATTGTCTCTCCATTTCTCTCTCTCTTACCCTCCCTCGATGGCTTTTTCCAAACGAACGCTCATTGTCTCTCCATTTCTCTCCCTCTTACCCTCCCTCATTGGCTTTTTCCAAACGAACATTCATTGCCTCTCCATCTCTCTCTTATATCTTTATCTCTGGGATTGTCAGCTGGGTTTTACCAACGAACACTCATTGTCTCTCCATTTCTCTCCCTCTTACCCTCCCTCGATGGCTTTTTCCAAACGAACGCTCATTGTCTCTCCATTTCTCTCTTATATCTTTATCTCTGGGATTGTCAGCTGGGTTTTACCAAAGAACACTCATTGTCTCTCCACCTTTCTCTTTTATACCTGTGTCTCTTTCCCTCTCTATCTCTGGAATTGTTCGCTGGGTTTTCCCCACGAACACTTGTTGTCTCTCTTCGTCCCTCTTTTTCTCTCTGTTTTTGTTCTCTCTCTCTCTCTATTAACGTCTCCATCGCTACCCGTTGCGTAGGTCATTGATAACAACTCGAGTTTTTGACAGGATTTTTTTTAACGAAAAATATAGTTGTGTCGAATGTGAATTGATCCAGCCGATATCTAAGCTACAAAATACTATAATGTACATCCTTATTCATTATACCATGGGCATGCATAATCCTGGATACCTTCCGAAGATTATGATATTTGACAAGTAGGTAGAATAAATCATCCATCATTTGAAAAGAATGGGGGAAATAGTTTCTCCCACAAGCAATAAAGAAATAAGACCAACACTGAAAGCACTGAGATTTGAATATATTGTAGTGTAATACATATGGATGTACAATTTATAATAATCAGTTTTGTATAATCAGAAAAGCTTGAACATGAAATCAAGCCAGGCTAATGAAAACTACAAATCATGATGAAATACATTCGAACATTTGAACTGTACTGAAAAAAGTGGGGTAGGTAAAATCTACCTTAATACCAATATAAACAAGAAATGTATATCTGTGGTATATAATATACAATCATTATATCATTTCTAATCGTATTGTGATAGTATTGAAATAAAGGAAAACAGGGACAGAGAGACGGGGAAAGAGAAAGAGAGACTATCAGCCCAAAATATGGTTTCGAGAAAGGCTATAATACATGCAGATATTTGCTTTGTAGAAGATAATAAATATGCTACCAATAATCATATTTTACATGCATGCATTACATCGAACTCTTATCATTTACGAACAATCCATCTCTTACTTAGGCTAGATATCTCAGTTCAGTATTCTTCAAAACAGTACATTCGTGCCTTGAGATTTTACTTTATTGACGTATTTTAATTGCCCGCGGTCAAATACGTGCACAAATGTGTTGCGCGATGCATGCAGGTGAATAACCGATTCCTATCACCATCATCGGTAGTACCAACAAGAATGACACCAGACAGTCACAAGATAAAAGGTGATCGTCCTATTTCAACTAGCCCAGTTACATTGACAACACCGTCAAAAGACAAACGAACAATTGTATTACCCTGAAAGGCTTGAAATCTGTCTGATTTAAGCCGGTTTGTAATCTGATTGGCGGTGTGACTGGGGATAGTGGGTTTCAATTTCTAGAGGAACGAACTTTTTATTTTTGAACGATGCTCATGAAAAACCGATGGATTTCTCGGTGCGAAGTTCCGTTTTTCATCCCTCACAGTATTATTATTCACACATTAATATTAAAAGATGTTCCTGTCTGGCCCGTCGGCACGATATGAAATCGAGTGAGAACAAGTAAACTTGTTGGAATCGAACGGTGTGTTCTATTTGGGGTTATTTAACATTGCACTAATCTTTATGAAGTGACCTTTGAAAGTTATTTGACGCTATCTTCTAAACCACCCTTAGCATACACATGTACTTACATAGCTTATCATGCGAATATAGGTATATTATATGACTGTTGTCCCACACAAACAGCGGACGAGTGTTTTTGCCTTAACTTATCATATCACATGATTCAAATGATACCACACTGAACTTTATCGAATCCCCAGTGTTTGCATTTAAATCTTGATTTTTCAACTTTGAACAGACTTCGCAATTATCATAAATGACAACATCCATAGAAATCAAACTGACGTTCGAAAGAGTGGCACTGTGTATTCAAAGTTTTTGTTATTCATGTTTACATAAAAACTGTTTGATTCATGAACTTTTTGCATTCCCAATTTTGAAAGTACATGTATAAATTCAATTCAAATTCAAACTTTGTTGGTCCAAAAGGAAATTTGTCCTATTACATGCATTATTCACAGGGAAAATAGATAACATGTACATGTGACATGAAACATACAACATAAAAACGAGTATATAGAGAAAAATATCACTTTAACATTCTTATTATATAGATATTTTCTCTGAATTTAAATTATTGACAATAATTGTTCCTATATCCAGAGTAATTACTTAAACAATATAACATTGTACTCATTATTACTATTATCATTATCAATATCAATATTATTATTATTATTATTTGTATTGATATTATTATTAGTTTGAATCATTATACCATTATGATAGTTTGAAATAATTATGAATAAACAAGCAATATATTATGACATTATGAGTATTAATAGAAAAAAAGCCTTTTTCATTTCATTTGGGAAAAGACAGCTATTACAAGAAAGTATATACAATTGTCCTATAATAAATACAAATAGATGTGTGATCATTTCCTACAATAAAATAGAGTATAATATAATTCGAGTGATACATTTTACAATTTACATTTCATTCAACATACTGTTTGTTATGTGACATAATCGTGTAGAGTAAAAATATCAACTGAAAAAATATGGTACGATGGTACAAATGGTAATTAATATCAGTGTTTCCAGATAAATTAAACCGCTCTTGCTTCAAATTATGTGACACCTCATTTTGACGTTACTTTACAAAAATGCATTCTATAATGAATAAACAAATGTTGAGGCAAAAGTCTATTGCTCTTAATATAATTTGAACGCTGTTATTTTGCATTCATAAGTGATATTCATTAAATGAGAATAATGACAAAATTCCTGTGCAAAACCAGGTCATAACCTAAGTGGAGAAATCTCGATACTACAGAAACAATCACTAAATGAAAAAAAAAACACTAAAAGAAATATGCTTTACGGAGTGTTACCACAGTAATAATGTTGGAATAGACTTATGCACGATTCCACGCCAGGTAAAACTGCAACTTTGCACAAAACATTGAATGATCCGTGTACGTCAACATGTACATGTACAAACCCATAGATCTGGCAGCAATACTATGGTTGGAATTTTTAGATGAGTGACGAATTTGAGGGATATGCAGGGAATGTACATGCAATTACGATAACATTTGATACCATTTATTCTTACATGCATATTCCAACTATAAAACAAAACGATCAAATTTAAACTTCGAATAGTAGATACAAAGAGTGACATGGAGGGACTATCAAATAGTAAGCATATCTTCACCAAAACAGTTTGCTGTAAATGTATAGCTTATCTGGAGTACAAAGGACGACCTTTCCACTCATGACTTCCTGCAAGAAGCACCATTTTCCATCTGGTTTCTCCATCTTCTGATCAGCTACAAGGGTCTGTGTGTACTCGAGCTCACTAGTGTACCGCTCGATACTAAACACGGCCTTACTGTGATTCATACAGGCCAAGAGAATGGTACCATCCTGGCAAACAGAAGGGTGGATGTGAGAACCCACTTCCTTTGTGATGAAGTGTTTCTTATCCCCCGCATCATCAATGATCCTTACCGAGTTGCTGTGAGTAAGAGCTAGGACTCTGGTGCCTGATCCTATGACAGATACATACCATGGTTCATACCCGTCGCATGGGATCTCCTTCTCTGCTTGCCCACCTCCTGGTGAGAACATCTGTATCTTCCTGCCCTTCTTGTAGTCTAGGTAGATGCGATCATGAATGTCTACTGAGATCCCACCGACCCCATCTTCTTCTTTGCTCAGAGTTTCGAATCGTCCATCGAGTTCCTCCCACTGTAGAGAGTACACTGTGACTTTATTATTTGTTTGGCGGACAATGCAACTTCCATCCTTTAAGAAACCTAATCCGCGAACACCTTCCATAACTGTAGTCTGTAGCAATTGTCCCTCGGTCGAAAAGAACTTGATGTCTCCATTCCTTGTTGCAATAGCCAATTGTCCATTAGGCGTCGCTGCCAAACAGGTCACACCTCCATCAAAACTCACCGTTTCTCTAAGCTCCCACTCCTTGACCTGAACAGTTCCAAGGTCAAGACCCTTGGACTCTGCAGCTTGTTGGAAGGTCAGGAATTCTGCACGGAGTGCTATAGATTCAGGAAGAGATGCATCAAGGTTGTCTCCTTTCACGAGAGCCTCAATTTCACCTACTCGTGCAGCGCGCTCGGTCAATGACTGGTCTCCACATTGAGCAGTAGACTCTTCGGTGACCACAGAAACCTTGGTTGATAGGTTCTCAAGGAAGTCTTCGTGGAACTCGATGATACCTTCTAGATCTTCGCAGAGCGATCTCTGATAGATGTTGCACTCTTCAAGCAGTTGATCTTTCCTTCGTCGTATTCGTTCGACAGCACCCTCAAAGACATTCTCGATTTCTTGCCTTTGTTGGCCGATAATATTTTCAACCATGCCAATCTTCTCCTTCACAAAGGACGAATGGCTTTGTATCACAGCAGTTTTCTGTTCTATCTTTTCCTGCAAAAGATCAACTGCTGCTTTGTGGCTCTCTTCATACTCTTCAATTCCGATGACCTCATGCCTGTCAGGCTGATGACCCACTTCCAAACACCTACAACAGATGCGAACCAGACATGTGATACACACAAACTGCTGCAGTTCTCTGGGATGTTCTATACACGCAAGTTGTGTTCTGATTTCCCCTGACGCAATGTCTCTAGCACTAACGAGCTCGTGATGGCCATTCTGCGTAAACCTATTGTGCTGCTCTAGACAATAGTCGCAAAGGAATTCTGAACAATGCTGACAGTAGAAGGTAGCAAGTCCTTGATCATCAGCATCACACAAAGTGCAACGTTGGCCGGAAGAAGCGCCATCCGTTGAATCGGTTGCTCTCTTCTTGTCCGATCTCTCTTTGAAATCTTCTGCAAGGGACTGGACAATTTGATTGGTTGGAAAATTGGATACGTTATTGTTGGACAGAGGTGCAACAGAGCGACACACAGCGCACATTATCCGATTACCCAGAACTTGAGTTGAGTGGAGTTGCGTCAGACAACCTTCACAGAATGTGTGTGAGCAAGGTAGGAGCTTCGGCTTGGTGAGAAGATCCTTGCAGATTGGACATTGCAGACTGTCTGTTAGATGTTGCCTTGCAGAGGCCATTATGCTGATATGTGTCTGGTAAGAAACAAAGAAATCCTTGAAATGAGCAAATGTGCCAACGACTTTTCCCTGTCAATAAAGTCTGTTAATTAAACAATTTCTTTGGCCGGGTAATATAATAATTACACAAAAATCTAATGACTCTGATTCACCCAACTGTGAATGGAATACAGAAATCTCTGAATCACGTCGAAATATAGAATACTTGATCAGATAATAAACTTACATTTTTCACTGGATTGTTTCTATTGAGAATTATGATAATGTTGCATCAATATATCGTTATTTTGCAGAAAGAAAGCAATTTACATCTGTAAATTCCCATAATTCTCTTTTTAATCCAATATCATATGGCGTTCCACAGGGCTCTATTTTGGGGCCTCTGTTATTTTTGATTTACATCTATGATATTGTAAATTGTTTCACTTTCTGTAAATTCACACTTTTTGCACACAATACGACCATTCTTGGTTCAGATAAAAAGTTTGATCTTTTAATCCATGAACTGAATCTGAACATGACAGTATGTATAAGACTGCTAGTTTTGCAATAAGCTGTCTTTGAATGTTTACAAGACTAAATTTGTTATTCTCAACTTTGCTTGAAACCTTAGTCCTATATATGACAATGTCTATCATTTCTATCAACAATGAATTAATTGAACAGTGTAGAGTTTTGAATTACCTTATTAATTATAGTCCTATTCCAAAAAAGGTTTCACAGAGCGTCGGTATTATATTCACTTAAAACTTGTTATACCACTCCGTGTTTTATTCATGTTATACAATGCATTTATTTTGCCATACATTATATAGGCTATTGCAATTCTGTTTTGGCGACGAGACATCCCTCTTAGTTACTCAAATTACAGAGACTTAAACAAAAAAAAGGCAATACACCTTTGCTCAGATCCCCTTTCCATAGCTTCCTCATATCCTGTATTATTTTAGAAGATTCAATACTTTACATAATTATTTTTGATATGAATAAATTAAAAATTGTGTCATTGATGCAACGATTCTTCTCAAACGCCCTACCTTCAAAAACCTTGTGCCCCTATTTAGTCAATGCGGTCCATTCCCATTTCACAAGAAATGCTGATAAATTCCATCATTGGAATGCAACATTGGAATTCCCTACCTGCTTTTTAGTGGTCTGTTCGATTTAACAATTCATTTTAAAGGTTTTACAAGAAACATCTTCTCTCTCTTCATACGGCATAATTTATTTAAAGACCACATCTCTCATACCTAAATGCAACCCCCCCCTTTTAATTCGTTATTATTAGTTGTTGATGCATTCGATTGTAAAGCCTTATTGGCTTTTACATGCAGATGCACCATTTTCCACTTACACTTTCTGATATGATGTTCGATCCGTTATCGTTGTATAATTATATTGTCATGATGATGGAAATAAATGTCAGTTCAATGTCAGTTCAATGTCAATTCAGAGTAAGTGATTAATAACCAGAAAGATGACCAACTATTGGTAAGCAGGAGGCCGTACTTCTATCACTATGGAAGTGAATACGTGGGACGTGGATACTACCATGCTATGTAATTGCACACACTCCCTGCACTACATAGTTCCCCGCATTAACGAACCATTCATGATTATCTTGTTGGTACGTCACGTATGTTCTCCCGTACAACATTGACCTAAAAATGGCACCTAAGTTTAGCAAGAAGCCAGCAACATATCCTGTTTAATACTCACAGTGTGTAAAGAAGTGTCTAAGGAACGTTCAGCTGTTTAGCTATCGCAGTTCTCAAAATGCTTCCCTTCGTTATCAACGTGTGCATAATTATGAACAGGCAACTTTGCTACAGCTAGCTATAATAAGCACAGAGGTCCAAAGGCGAGATATCGAAATACAAAACGATAAACAGTCTATTGTAAAAGTAAGCACTTGTTCTGTAGTTGTCACATGATAATACCATTTATTATCACCCTAAAGTGAGATTCCACATGAGTGCAATCGGCAGTACATATCAAAGCTGTATGCAAACATGTACGTTATTGAACTTCGGACCCCCCGGGTTCTTCTTACACGTTGGGATTGCTGGGTTTTCCCCACGAACTCTGGTCGTTTCTCCGCCTCTCTCTCTCTCTCTCTCTCTCTCTCTCTCTCTCTCTTTCTGACTCTTTTTTTTCTTTCTCTCTCTCTCTCTGGGATTGCGTGCTCGGTTTCCCCCACGAACACTCGTTGTTCCACCATTACACCTCTCACTCTTTTACTCTCTCTCTCTCTCTCTCTCTCTCTCTCTCTCTCTCTCACACCCCCTCATCTAGATATGTATGCGTATAATGTCTCCATATCTACATGCTGCGTATGTCATTGAATTCAACTCGAGTTTTCAAAGTTTTTGAAAGGTTTTTTTCAATACAAAAATATAGTGTGTCGAATGTGAGTTGATCCGTATATACTCATTGTGATTCAAAACCAGTATTTCGAACTTCGCCCTGAAAGCCAAAGAGGTTTGTTGATTTAGCTGATATCTAAGCTACAACATACCATAATCAGGCACGTAGCCAGAGTTTGATGTTTTTTTTTGGGGGGGGGGGGCACATTCATGTAATCGATCGACGTCCTGGGGAGGGGTCTAAAAAAGTTCAACCGATCCTGGAATTTTTTTTTTTTTTTTTTTGGGGGGGGGGGGGGGGATGTGCCCCCGTGCCTCCGCCCCCCTTGGCTACGTGCCTGACCATAATGGGCATCCTTATTCATAATACCATGGGCGTGCATAATCCTGGAGACCTTCCGAAGATTTTGATATTTGACAAGTAGGTTAGGTATATAGAATCAAATCATCCATCATCTGATATAAACAAGGTCCAACACAAATATGTAAATATCACAAAAAGTTAACCTCAAGGGTTACACTCAAGGGGAACACCAACTGCGAATTAATCGATATTTTCCTATTGACATTACTATTGAACTAGGTTAATGATATATGTTTATTTTGCAAACGAGTATTATTTTTAAACTGTTCTGTATAAACGTTATGCTTTTTGATGTAAAATATGTTCATGTTTATTCAGGGCCCCATGAAAGACCACTCGTTATTGGTGAATGGGCTACCCTGTCAAAAGATTAGAAATAAATAAAATTCCCCAATCATCAAAACAAAAAGCTTTGCGCGTATTGATTCATTCAGTGTACCATCGTTTTCTTATTTTTTTAATAAACCATCTCCATTTGCAAAATAATGGTTGTTCACAACTGCACCAGACAGTAAAAGTACTTAATACCTCTAGTTTACGTATATGGTCAACAAAAGACAATACGTACACATTATCATACAACGCAATACATGACAACACATAATATTGCAAAAAGTGAAAGTTGAAATGCAACTTCAAGATAAAACCATTTTTAATTTACATGTCCATACAATCTTTGCTAGTGAAAGAAAATGGTTGTATTCGTACAAATTCCATGAAGAAAGTCAAAGATCCTTCTTTTTCAGCCCCCCCCCCCCCAAAAAAAAAAATATCCACCCAAGTTTTTTAAAGGTCTGGTGACGTCGAAATATGTGTTGATGTGCAGGGCTGCATTTTTTTTTTTTTTTTTTTTTGGGGGGGGGGGGGGGGTTATACCCTGACAACACCCCCCCCCCCCCCTGCGTACGCGCCTGGACCCAGCCCTTCAAGTTTAAATTTGTTATCAAATCTGTGCCTTAGATTGGTGAGATGTTTTACACATCACTCTAGGAAAATATCAATTCTTAATTAATTAAAAAAAAAAATCTCTCAGTACATTCACCCGTTTGTTTAGGCATTCTCTGTACGTAAGTATAGTATGATCCTAGATGGAGACATCATTCTCTTAAAAGTACTATGTCCCTTTTGCAGCCAACCTCAAATGCTGTAGAACTTTGCAGGGATTATGAATATGTCATGTATGTCCTATCTGTGAAATTTAAACGTTAGCAGTGTCCTCATATTCAAATTATGCAAGGAAAACCGTTTATTTGCTAGACTTCACTGTCAGACACTATTGAGTGACTGACTGGCTTTTTTCTTCTTTGGTAATAACATACATGAAAAGAGTTGTAAAGGGTACATGAGCATTTGTCTACATCAATAACCCACTTCTTGTGATGGCCAAGATTAAACTGATTGAATCTTTGCGCAGCATAAAACGTATGACCATTTGGTACAATTGTCTGAAAATCAAGACTATTACTTTTGGGCTCTATAGCCCTAAAGTCGATTTGACAACTAATAGTCGTTATTTTCCCACTTGAAGACATTTTCAAGCCCCACCTTTTTTAGGGAAGTTCTAAATTAGTATTAGTAGTTGGAATTTAACTTTTTCAATTTTTTGGCCTGCAAATGGGACATAGTACCTTTAACCATAATACTTGTCAATTCTCTTGAATTTAGAATGTATACTTCAATGAACTCGCTTTGTAGACGAGCCCCCTCACTCAGACGTGATGTACAAATCAACCTTATGGCAAATTATGGCAAGCAGAATGGGACAATGCAGAACACGGTAGATTTTTATATGCTTTGCATAGCGACGTTTCAAAGCCCATACATAGACAAGGCCTATCTCGCAGAGAAGAATGCTTGATACAACAACTAAGAGTAGGTAACTGTAGTTTAAATTATTACCTTTTTCAAATTAACCAACACGATACTGGTCTTTGTGAAGTTTGTCAAGAAGATGAAACAATTAAACATTTTATTTTCTATTGTACAAAATACGACAAAGATAGACGTCTCTTAAAAGAAAGGATTAAATTGAACAACCCCAATCTGAAACAATTATTATTGATGTCTAACCCAATTTTTACTCGTGAATTATTGGGTTACATATACGATACTAATCGTTTTAGATAGCTTTCAAAGCTATCAGGGATCCCTTAACTTATGTCGATCCTGTAATAATATATAAAATGAAGTATTTGCGGTTTTTCCATGAACAATTGCAACTAACTCCCATCTCGCCTTTTATGTGCATTTTATGCAATTTTAATATTGCAGCTTTTTTTTTTTTTTTTTTTTTTTTTTATAAAACCATATCACTATTAATTTCATTTCACCAAGGAAAGTCGCTCGTGGGCTTGATTTCCGAAGCCCACGCCAAAGCTATACACGAAATTGACTGGCGCAAATAATCTTTGAGATTGAAGAGCGCCATCTAAACGAAGAACCAACCAACAACCTTAGTATTATTTTGACTCACAGATTTATTCAACTTCAAGAGAAAATTGCTCCATTTAAGCCGATACTTTCTATTTAGGTCGATTAACGCTCTGGCCAAATGCCATTGAATATGGGGTTAAGCCCCGTACAAAGCTCATATGGTACGTCTTCGAGTAGGCCCTTGAAAACTGGCATAGAAAGTATCGCATATGGCATAGAAACTATCGGCTAATGGACAGTCACAAACATATTTGGGGACGAACGGGTGTGGGTTATGTGTGTGTGTGTGTTGTGTGTGTGGTGTGTGTGTGTGTGTGTGTGTGGGGGGGGGGAGATGAATGCTTGTGTAGAATATAAAGAGGAGAGGATAGAGAAAAAACGAATATGGATGGAGGGAGAATTCAATTCAATCAGACTTCGGTTTTATTATCAAAATAACGCAGGACAAAAGTGAGTAGACCATGCTGTTCCTAGTACAATGGAAGCACGTATTTTGGTGTAATACATGTGGATATACAATTCATAATAATCAGTTGCATATAATCAGATTGACTTGAAAAATGAAATCAACACCAGGATAATGAAAATTACAAATCATGAAAAAGAACATCGGACATTTGAACCGTTCTTAAAATGATAAAAATAGAAATACCCACAATTTATTCTGTTTTTTAAAAGGAAATACACCATTGCCTGCTTTAAGCAAAGACAATAGCCCGAATTCACAAAGGAGGTTTGTCGACAAACCTTGGTTTTCGTACGTCATATGACGCGTTTTTACGCGTTTTTTACACACCTGGTTTGTAAAGAACAAAAGGAGGTTTGGCGAAACAAAAGGAGGTTTGGCGAAACAAAAGGAGGTTTGTCGACAAACCTCCTTTGTGAATTCGGGCGATTAAGTTTTGATATGACAACCTACAAATATAAACAAGGCCCAACACAAATATGTAAATATCACCATTAGTAAACCTCAAGGGTTACAATGCAAATATAACATCGAAATCAGATTATTAACTCTAGACTTGCAAGTCTTGTTGTAACTCCTACTCCTCCTCTCCTCCTTTGACTCTCTTGAACTTGGTCCTGTAATTGACCAACATAGTGTAGGTGGCATCAGAGTAATATGAAACAGACAAAATATATCTGTAAAATAACACCATCATGAAGTATGCAAACAAAGAAAATATATCCCAGTGAATTCTAGAGGTGAAGACAATTCAACCAATACAAAATTCCGATAAGAAAGAGGATTCCAACAAAGAAATGAAAGAGATCACACACAAGCTGCAACAGGGACGCATTTTCTCTGATATCTCCATTCCTTGTTGCAATAGCCAAATGTCTATCTGGTGTCGCAGCCAAACAGGTCACACCTCCATCAAAACTCACTGTTTCTCGAAGCTCCCACTCCTTGACCTGAACAGTTCCAAGGTCAAGACCCTTGGACTCTGCAGCTTGGTGGAAGGTCAGGAATTCTGCACGGAGAGCTATAGATTCAGCAAAAGATGCATCAGGGTTGTCTCCTTTCACGAGAGCTTCAAGCTCATCAACTCGTACGACACGCTCAGGCAGCGACTGTTCTGAGCTTTGAGAAATAGACTCTTTGGTAACTACAGAAACCTTGAGTGATAGGTTCTGAAGGAAGTCATCGTTACACTGGATGATTCTTTCAAGGTCTTTGCAGAGCGACCTTTCATAGGCGTTGCACTCTTCAAGCAGTTGATCTTTCCTCTTTCGGATTCGTTTTAGAGCGCACTCAAAAACATTCTCGATTTCTTGCCTACGTTTACCGATGATAGTTTGAACCATGCCAATCTGCTCCTTCACAAAGGACAAGTGGCTCTGTATCACGGCAGTTTTCTGTTCTATTTTCTCCTGCAAAAGATCAACTGCTGCTTTGTGGCTCTCTTCATACTCTTCAATTCCGATGACCTCATGCCCGCCAGGCTGATGACCCACTTCCAAAC